GCCAAAATGAAGAGGAAGTGGGGGTCCTCTAAGCTCCGAAGATGAAGTACATGCTGGAAATCATGCATGCGTGCAAAATATGCAAGTTTTTTTACAAGTTAAGGCGCATCTGTGCGCCATGATCAAATATTGGTTTGAGACCGTTGTACGGCCTGTTTTGCGCTATGCGCTACGACGCAAGGGCTCTGTGGCGATTTTGGGCCAAAGGGTTGCGGACATGTTAATGTTGTCCATGGATGAAAACCGTGCATAGTGAAACATGGCATACTGACACTCCCAACTTTTTGTTGGCTCAAAAGTCGTGTCAGGGCCGTTGCTGCGACAGTGCAGTACCACTGCCGGTAGGTGACCAAGGTACCAACCATCATCGCGAGCCACACCTCAGACCCCAGTTGGGCCATTGGATTCCGTAACCAGTCCAGGATCACCGCTCGAAGGCTGCCGTTTGCCTTCGTAATTCCATCAGCCCACATGGCCCCATGGCGGTGGTGGGAACCCATCGCATGTCCGAGGGAGGAATGGTTTCTTGCACAGATCGGATGGTGAGTCCAACACGCTTCTCTTCCGTGTTGAAGTTTGCTGCGAGGGCAGCATCGTATAGAGACTTGCAATCAGTGGCGTGACACTGCCTTAGTGTCTTCAGATTGGTGAGCGGGTTTGCCTTGGCTCCGAACACAATCTGGGAGAACATCTTGTTGGCGAAGACACCGCGATCGATTGCGCCATCCGCTGCAGAAGCCTCTACGGCCAATGTGCTCCTGACGACTCCTTGTTGATCGGGACGTCCCTGTAGGTTGTGCGGAGTATCTTTCTTTGACGTCTCTGTCCGTGGTCATGCTTCCCCATCTGAGCAATCCAGTAATGGTGCCTAGGTCGGTCACCAGGAAGTCATCCACGCATAATACAAAAAGTAGAGCGATACAGTCTACAACTCCTTCTTGGTCATAGAGCGCTTTCCCATCTCCAACGACAATAGTCCTGGGGCGTTCGCAAGGCCATACTCGTTCCCTCTCGTACAGTTCGGCTGGACATGTACCTGCTTGTGACAGGATTGGGTCACGGGGTGGCATCATGAAGAGTCGATTTGGCAGTTCGCCCTGATCCTGTTGGCCTTGCAGGAACGGTGCGCTGTCGTCGCGTCGGCGCACCAGTCTCCAAAGACGCTCATTTCGGAGGAGCTTCCTGTTGCGTCCTGACATGTAGGCTGTCAAGAGAACTTGTTCCGTCAAGCGAGTTGGAATTGGCACGTCGCGGTTTATGACCGTCAGGTTCGGATCTCTGTGTCCTAAAACGACTACACGTGTCTTGGCGCGCAGTTCGCCCTGCCCTTGGGACTTGTCCCGGTAGCAGGCTCGCGACCTGACCCGGGTCCCCAGCACGGGATCTTTGAGGACTTCCCGGGCTTCCTCTGTGGAGAGTGGCCTGATTAGGGACCACGTCATCCATTGTTCGTGCTCTTTGCGAGCTGATTCTACGTACTCCTGGAGCGTTGCTCCTCCTTGACGTACGATGTCGCGCCATGGAACTTCGCGATTCAGTGCCTTCATTTTGTTTTGCCTCTTGCCAGTTTCTGCAAAGCTTGACGTTTGATGACAGATTCAACCGCAGAGTCTTCAAACCTTGACGTTTGGTCATGACTTCAACCTCGCCACGAATTGTGGCTCAAGACTCGTGAAAAAAGGGCGCAGTGCATTTTGCTGTGCATTTTGCTGTGCATTTTGCATTCCCATGTCATTTGCTTTGCACTGAGCTGCACAAATCGAGAAGTGACAAATCGAGAAGTGTAAGCGAAAGCAATTTTGAGAACAAGAATAAGAACGGCCGATTTGATTTTGAAAGAAGTTTGAATAGAAGTTGGAGTGAGTAGATAAGAGAAGGAAAAGGAGAAAGAAAAGGAGAATTGAAGCAGAAGGAGACACGCACAAATCAAGAAATGCCGATTGATCAGCCGAGTGATTTTCCGAGAGAAGCATTACGATTGCACCATGCCAACCTTCCTGCTCCAACTCATTTCTCTCCTGTTCCTGACACACCCGATTTTCAGGTCATGAGCCCAAACACTGGCTCTACCACTTCCGGCTTACCTCCAGTCCCACCTTTTCCAATGCACTTGCGAAGGGTGGAGATGTCAGAAGTTACAGTGGCTCCTGAGTTGCTACAGCAGCTAGCACACCTTGCGAATGCAGCCTCTGAACCAATGATGGTGGACGAAGGGGTAGAGATGTCAGCGGCTATCCGCGAGATAGCTTCCCAAGTCAAAGGTCGAACTGAGATTCTTGCTGGTGCTGTACAAAGTGTGGCCACAAGCACCCAAGGGCTCAGCGACCGTGTGAAGATGTTGGAGCAGCAGCTCACAGAAGGCATCCAAAGAGAACAAGCACTAGCTGAAAGACTTCAGGTATACTTCAAGTCACAAGAAGACCGTCAAAAGAGCTTGGAGCATACTCTGGACAGGATGGGAACGGCTATGGCATCAATGCAGCAAGCAATGACAGCGATGCAGGCCTCCCTGGATGAACACAGAACAGCCATGAAAGACATGGCAGTCAGCGCGCGGAGCGCCAATGAACATGCTGAATTGCGTTTCAGCACGCTGGAAGACCGGCACCAAGCAGCGATGGCCAGAATGAACTACCTGGATCATCGCATTATGCAGACTGCAAACTCTCAGCAGGGGCAAGTGGAAACAAGCTACTTGTCGCCTACTACAAAACCTGCTCAGCCAGAGCACTTTCTTTTGACACCTTCAAAAGATGAACAGTGGCAAAATGATGACGATGATGACAAAGCATGGTGGGAGTGTGAAGATCCTGCTGGCTTTAAGCCGCCTGGCTTGGCCACGTCTCAGCAGCGCAAGCAGACAGAGCCTGCGCGGTCTTCAGCGCCCTTGATCCAACAAACTGTCGACGATGGCGTAGACTACAAAAGGGATGGCGTGTGGAAACTGCTGAAAGACGTGCCCAAGCTTGAGATTGCTCCTGGGGAATCCTGGGAAAGAGCACTCCAACTTAGCGTGTGGAAAGCTGAATTTCTGGCAATTGCACATGCAGTTGGTCAGAGGTGGGCTCTTTTCTTGCAAGAGAAATTTCAGCAGGCAGAAAATGTATATGAGCAAAGGCAGATGGGAAAGCTTTCAACGTATGAGTACCTGGATGAAGGCATGTGGTCTGCATCCACATGCACTGGGCATCTCTCCTCTGACTTTGAGAGCCGGTTTTGCATTGTCCTGATGAGGACATTGCCAGAAGAAGTGAAACGTCCCGTTTTTGAATACTCAACCCGGGCCAAGGTGACCAGCCAGAAGCTGCTAGTCTCTTTGTTGGAAGTGTTGAACCCTGGTGGCAAGGAGGAAGTGAAGTCTTTGCAGCAGTGGGTTCGTTCGCCGCCCACTTCCCAGACCTTTGATGAGGCCTTCAAAGTGTTGCGGCGGTGGCAACTGGCGGTGTCGCGCCTTTCCACTCTTGGCTTGCCGCCCCTTTCACCGCATGAGAAGTTGTCAGCCATGGATGGCATTCTCCAGAAGCTTGAAAGAAAGTCTGAGGTTTTGAGATTCAAGTTGCAGGCTCTCCGCATGGCACCAGAGATCCGCAGGCCGCAAGATGCGGCAGTTCAGAGTATGTTGGCACAAGTAGAAGAAGAAGTTCGAATCCTCCAGGCAGATGAGCGTACAAAGTTCAACAGGCAAGGAACCTTGGAAACAGTGTTCCGAGCAGAGGCCAAAGCTGCAGCAAAGCCAGCAGCACCCAGTTTCTGTCAGTTTTTTGCACGTGGAAACTGCAAGAAGGGCGACCAGTGTGCATTCTCTCATTTGTCTCCTTGCAGATTCTATGCGCTTGGCAGCTGCAGGCACGGGGATGCATGCAAGTACCCCCATGTGACACCAAAAGCAGCCCCAAAGCCAAAGTTGGCCCCAAAGGCTTTTCCCAAAAGGAGCAGCGAGACCAAGCCAAAGCAGGCTGCTGAGTCCAATCCAAAGGCCGCTGCAGCCGAGAACGCTGGAGATAGCCAATCTCGTGCTTCTTCGGTTCGGTCCTTGGTGATGGCAGCGACCACTCAGAGTTCAGCGTGCAAGGTTTCTGATGAGGAGAAGCCGCTGGTCCTCATTGACTCTGGCGCAAATGAAGTGATCAGACCATATCGCCCTGAGCTCCACAGACAGATGAAGAACATGTCCAGCACACAGGTCGCACTTGCAAATGGCCAAGCGGTATCGGCTCACAGAACCAGGGAAGGTGAGCTGGTCTTACCAGCATCAGGACAAACAAGTGCAGAATGGATTGTGCCTCTAGAGCGGCTCACAGTGGGCCTTCATTGCAAGTTTTGTTGGGATGGCAAAAGTGGAAGCCCAGTCCTGCAAGTCCCCCAAGAGAATGGACAGATCCGCGAAGTCGATGTTTTGGTCAAGAACCGTTTGCCTTACCTCAGCTGGACAGATTTCCAGCCCTTAAGGAGGAGGCTGGCTAAGCTTTGGAAAGGGAAGCCTACTTCATGCCAAGCAGCTAATCTGCATGAGCCACACGCTGAGCACCCAGGTCCTTTGCCGAGCTCCTCTACGTCAGAGCAGAGGGCTCCTAGTCCTACTGCTTCTCCCGGTCGGGGACCTGCGGTGTGCAGCTCAGATGGTTTTTCCATTTCTTCCAAAGAGAGATCTGACTTGGAAGAGATGCATGCCTTTGGAAAGAAGTTGCTTGCACTTGGCTTCCCTGTCCCCGAAACAGGCATCCAAGAAGAGGGTGCGTCTTCCAGTCAGTGCAGTACCTGCAAGGCTGCAGTTTCACCTGCTGCCATTGACTTGGATGACGGGACAGATCTGGAAGATGGGACGTTGCCCGGTGATGTTCCAACACCAGAACAAGAAGCCTTGAAGCAGCTCAGGGCTCGTTGTGAGCAAGGGCTCTACGACAAGCAGTGTGAAACTTGTCTGAAGTCAAAAGGGTACAGAAGACCCCACCGCAGACTGGCAGCCGAAAGCATTTCTAACGGAGTGCTGTCAATGGACTTGTCAGGTCCACACCCTGTCAGTGTGGATGGTCACCGTTACATGCTTGTCACAGCCCTGAGGCTTTCCAATGGCACCGTGCTACCCTTTCTTCGAACTTTGCCGAACAAGGAGTCTGCCACTGTACTCCAAGCATTGCTTTCCATCATGGCTCAAATATCATCCATGACTGGAGGCATAGCAGTGTACTTCCGAGTACATTCAGATTGCGGGGGAGAGTTCACTGCCAACAGAATGGTAGAACAGATTCATGCATTAGGTCTCTGGAAGACGACCACTGCATCGCACTCGCCTGAAGCAAATGGCGTTGCAGAACGGATGGTGCAGAAAGTCAAAGATGACGCCACACGCTGTCTGTTGCATGGAAGTTTGCCTTTGGTTTTTTGGCCTTTTGCTGCAAGACATGGAGTGTTCATAGCTCGACAGCGAGCCCTCGGATTGCCCATTCCAGCTGCTCTGCCCAAAGTGGGCCAGAAAGTTTTGGTGAGGAAAGTAGCTGCTGACAATTTCACCAGCAGATTGGACGAAGCAGTTTTCCTTTGCGAAGATGAAACTATCCCCAATGGCGCCCTTGTCCTGATGAAGCGCCCGTCAGGCGAACGTGGTCAGATTGTCAAGACCCGCATGCCCTTGGTTGCGCCTACTGCTGCAAAAACATGGCGGCTTGAAAGCAAGGATGACCAAAGGGCGTGGGTGTCAAACACAGGAGAGCTCTGCTGGGATGAACCAGCAGATGGGCAGCCACAGCTGACTTTTGAAGAAAGAACAGCTGGTCCAGACCTTAGCGCTGGGGACGTTCTTGAACTGGTCAAGAAACAGATGGGCAACACTGAGCCATCCTGGACTGATTTCTGCAAATTTGGTCATGGCTACCTCCTGTCTTTAGACCATGGCGAGCCAAAGTTCGCCTGCAAGGCTGTCAAGGCCAACGACAGTTCAAGTCACATGTCCAACCAAGATGAGAGGATCCGTTACCATGTTCTCTCCTTTGATTTGGAAGAAGATATGAATCAGACAGAGGCACAAAGCCGAGATATTGTCACCTCAGCTGAAGCAGTTCCCCAATCAGTTTTGTGGAGCGATGACACCTCTGAGGAGGAGAGAGCCAAGTGGATCAATGGACTTCAGGCAGAGCTGGACAACATGATGGAAAAACAAGTTCTTCGCGAAGTCACACGTGAAGAAGCAAAGGACTTCTTTGGTTTGACGTCCACGTCAGAACTGCCAATTCCTGTTCCAAGCAAGTTGGTGCTTACCCGGAAGCCGATGATGGACCCTGCTCCAAGTGAAGCTTCGGCATCAATCGCTTCTGCAGTAGCTCACAGCTCATGGAAGGCCAAGGTGAGGTTGGTGGCTTGTGGAAATTACCAAGCAGATACACAGCCTCATATGCTTGAGAACTCTTCTGCAAACCCATCACAGGAAATTGTGCGCCTCCTGATCTCCATGTTGGTGAGGCACCCAGAATGGGTTGCACTGGTGTTGGATATTGCTTGCGCCTTCCTGAATGCTGAGCTCGGTGATGACAAAGTTTTGATTCGGCCCCCTCCATCACTGGTCCGCATGGGCCTTATAGCCCCACATGTGCTGTGGCTTGCTTTGCGTGCAATCTATGGTTTGCGAAAAGCGCCGAAATTATGGGAAGAAGAAAGAAATCGAATGTTGGACCACCGTGTTGTCAACACTTCCATTGGCAGTGTTGTAATGCAGCCTCTAGAGTCTGGCGCATGGCTTCTGCAGGCAGATGGAGAATGTGTTGGGCTTTTCATGATGTATGTGGATGATGGCTTGCTGGTTGGACCTCGTGAAGTACTGGTATCCTTAGGAGCTGAGTTGAAAACATTGTGGGATTTGAAGTGTCAAGGTTTCTTGGCCAGCCACGCGCTTGGTAGCGAATCAGTCGTCCCAGTTGGTGACGAGAGCGTCCCTGTCCAGCAAGAGCTGAACTTTTTGGGAGTCAAGATCCGCAGGTGTCCCGACAATGGTGTACTTTTACATCAAACGTCTTGGCTGATCCAAGAATTGAACAAGCGAGGCTGGCTTCACATGAAAGGCAGTCCCTCACTGCCTGCTGTTCCAGAAGGAACGTTGGAGCCAATGACCCGCGATCAGCAGTACACTGAGGTTTTGCGGAAAGCCCAGAGTGAAGTTGGGTGTTTGCAATGGCTTGCCTTGCGCAGTCGCCCAGACATCGCCGCCACGGTCGGCTCTGTGGCCTGCTTGTCAGCTATCCATCCCGGAGTTGCACTGAAGTTATGTCAAGGCATTTGGCGCTATTTGAGCAGCACTCGAAACCATGGTGTCTTCTTTGCGCCTTGCTTCCCGGAGTCTTGCTTTGATGATTCCCTGTGGCTATTTGGAGATGCTAGCCTGGCCCCAGGAGCCAGCCGTAGCCGCACTGGAGTGGTAATCAAGTGGGGTGACCACATTCTGTCTTGGAAATCTCAAAGACAGGCTCTCACTGCTTGGAGCGCCTTTGAAGCTGAAGTCGATGCTGGAGCTTCTGCTTGTCAGGTTGGTGTTCCAGTGAAGGTCCTTCTGCAAAAGGTTCTCGGCAAGCCAATACAAACTTTCCTCGGCAGTGACAACGCTGCTTGTGTAGCCAATTTGGTCAAGGGATCCAACACTACGGTGCCCACTCGCACACGCCACTTTGGCATGAGGTGTGCTTACATCCGGGACCAGGCCCATGCTGAAGGATTTGCCATTCAGCACATTCCTGGCACAGACATCCCTTCAGATGCTTTGACCAAAGTGTTGCAACGATGTAAGCTTGAAGAATCCCGGCAGAAACTGAATGTCCTGGCAAAGCTTTGATCAATCAAAATCAGTTCCCGAAGCTCACAGCTTTTGAGGAGAAGTGTTTTGCCTCTTGCCAGTTTCTGCAAAGCTTGACGTTTGATGACAGATTCAACCGCAGAGTCTTCAAAGCTTGACGTTTGGTCATGACTTCAACCATGCCACGAATTGTGGCTCAAGACTCGTGAAAAAAGGGCGCAGTGCATTTTGCTGTGCATTTTGCATTCCCATGTCATTTGCTTTGCACTGAGCTGCACAAATCGAGAAGTGACAAATCGAGAAGTGTAAGCGAAAGCAATTTTGAGAACAAGAATAAGAACGGCCGATTTGATTTTGAAAGAAGTTTGAATAGAAGTTGGAGTGAGTAGATAAGAGAAGGAAAAGGAGAAAGAAAAGGAGAATTGAAGCAGAAGGAGACACGCACAAATCAAGAAATGCCGATTGATCAGCCGAGTGATTTTCCGAGAGAAGCATTACGATTGCACCATGCCAACCTTCCTGCTCCAACTCATTTCTCTCCTGTTCCTGACACACCCGATTTTCAGTCCTCGGGGATTCCCAGGGCCTTGAACACTTCCCAGCAAAGGCCGATGATGCGCTCCACACCGGCTCGAGACCCTGCATTGACCACCGCACCTCATAGAGCCCTAAGCGTGGTGCGCCTCGGCATGGGTCACATGAAACCCGTGCCCTGCCAAATGGCACAGAACAGCAAAAACCGTTCCAACAGCAACTGAACGGTGCCTATTGCTTCGGCAGGTGAAGAGAATTGCCGCCTCGGTTCCATACTGGTGCACATGGTCCATGGCTTCGCCAAGAAGTCGAATCATCAACGGAGAATTCGAACTCACCAGTCCCTGAATGATATGGTGGTTCCTTCCAATGTGCGACCTGTGAGTTCCACCATCCGGATCGTGGGTCTCACGAACGTCAATCGGCAGGATCACCTTGCCGTCTGCCTGCCGTGGGCTCAATCTCGTCAGCTCGCCACCGGTCACAATCGACACGCAATTGTGTTGTCCTTCAAGATTCGTGGTTGTCCCAACGTCTCCGTTGAATTGGAACACCACATGGCCACGGTCCATGTTTGCAACACACGCCGCTGGGCGGAAAGGCCTAAGAAACTTAAGTGCCTGTGCTGGGGATTCATGTTTGGGGAGTTTGTTACATTCAGTGCGGATGCCCGAAGTGAGGTTCACTGGCAACAGTCCTGTCTTACTACATTTTGCCAATGGTAGTTCACGCTGAACGTTGTTCACTGTCACAAACACCTTGCCAGCTGAGAGGTCCTTGATCATTCCTAATGTCACTTGGGCATACAGTGATAACAAGAGTGGGGTTGATGTGTTGCCTTGGATTTCGTATGACTCTAACTTCCCCTTGATCACTGAGCCGTCCAAGGCTTCAAGGCCGATCGGCATGCTTCTGCTGCCACACGTGCCAGTCTTGGCACCAATGCCCACAAACGACGTGACATCATGGTTGACCCACTTGAAGGTTACACCATATTTTGCGAGTTTGTTGTTACACATCTCAGCCCATTGTTGACTGTGGCAAGTAGAATTACACCCCTCGTCAAGTGCTGAGTATACATCGAGGTTACTCATGCTCATGATGTCAAGCACTGGAAGGGTCAATTCTACATCACCTGTGTCGGGGTTTGCCCGCACAGCCATGAAACCTCTGGGTCCCGTCAACTCCGCCAACGTCAACGCAGCCCCCTCATCCAGTTGTGCCCAATCTTCTGGGTCATCGGAATCTGGTGGGTATAGGCTTCCGGGTCCTGCACCGCCATCACCTCGATGATCGCGTCATCCAGCTCCTTGTGAAGGTTTGCTGGTGACTTCGGGCCTGAGTCAAGCAAGCTCTGAGTGAATACGGCCAACACGGCTTGGATTTCAGCACTTGACATGCGATCACCGGCACCATCCCCAGTCAGATTGGTAACCACTTGCAATGTTTGGGGGTCTGTGTTCTCAACTCTTTCGGCCACCTGAACTCTATGCTGATGTTCGGCAATTGGCATCTCATTGATGAAGTTTCCACACTGTTTGCAAAACGCGCGAAAAAATATCTTGGAACTTCCACGGTGATCAACATCCGTGTGGGACAATTCTCAAACGCAAACTGATAGCTTTCTTCCCTACGGGTCACCGTCACATGTCCACAATCTCTACATGTCTTCTTCACCGTGTATGCAATACTCCCCTTGAATGTGAAATCTCTGCAATTGGTACACTTCTCAATCGGGGGATTTGGGGGTGTTTTCTTGGCTGCACTCTTGGACTTAGGCTTGGGCAACGGCTCCATGGCAACTGGTCCCTGATAGGGTCGAGCAACGGCACTGGAACTGATGGCTTGGCGGTTGGTTTTGGGGCGCCCTTGGGTCTACCTCTTGCAACCGAATAACCCATCATGGCCGTCGGTGTACTGCTGTGTCCATGGGTCAGGATCACACAGTCACCATCATCGGATGACGAGTCAGACATGTAGGCCATCATCGCAGCCCTAGGTTGGGATGCCTGCGGCTTGCTTCCAGCCGAAGGGAACTTGCAAGCAGCATCTCCTGCCCAGTGTCCTGTGGCGCCGCGCCGCATGCAAGGACTGCGAGCCTTGATCTCACTCAGCTTCGCTCGACGCTGCTCGAGAGTCAAATTGCTCTTGACCAGCTTCCCTTTTCCTTTTCCTTTTCCCTTTCCTTTGTGCTTAACCTTTTGCACCTGTGCATACAGCTATATGTACCTGTATAGTCAGCACCATAGCTTAGCTATATATATATATATATTGGAACTGCTGGGAGGCTATTTGTCTGTGGCCAGAAAACACTATCAGAAACTATTGGGGAGTTTTAGTGGGACTATAATAAAAACCTGCAGAAACTATTGGGGAAATTGTTTGGAACTATAAGGACATTTGTGCTGTGAAATTTGGATCAGTGAGTCATAGGGTCATAGAGGTTATATAATTCCAATTGTTACAGTCGTCCTGGAGCCTGGAACATCTTGGATCCAGGATGGGTTCTGAACTCTGAATACATTTTATGATGCAAAATGCTGCCGAAAGCCTGAACCAAATACAGGAACTATGATAGGAACTCTGTATTGGTTAGAAGATGGCAACACAAAATACGCAAGACAAAGCAAACGGAGAGACAACTACAGGGTGAGGCTAAAGATATGAGTTGAAGGAAACAAACAATTACACTAACACGGCAACAGGGAGTCATGGGTGAATACATTGAGACGGTTGGTGAAGACTATGGGCTGAAAGTCATTGAGATGAAGTACCACACGGCCGTCATGAGGTTCAGGTGCCTTGTCAATGATGAATAAAACATTGTTGTAGCAGCAAATCCTGACTACATATGGATTTTTTTGTACATCAATTATATCACATCAAATCATAAATCAATATTTATAAATAACGCATTTTTTTTGTGAATATTAGTGTAACAAAATCGAAACACAAGAGATGATATGCAGTTATTGGACATAAATTTGTACAGTGTGAAACGGTTACTACGGTAAAATGCTCAAAGTAGGGGACACAGTCAGAAACGGTATCTACGGTAAAATACCGTTCAAAAAATTGCACATTATCCGGAACGGTCTCAGACGGTCTCGGACGGTCTCAGACTATATCCGGTTTTGGCTTAAATATAGCAAGGAACGGTAACTACGGTTTAATACTGTGTGTGTTTTTGTGGAAAAACAAGAAATCCTAAAGCTTATAACACATTCATTATCCATTATTTATTCACTACTTGTTCACCAACAATGTTCTTGTCCTACGTTATGATGATGCTTGAGAAAATGTCATTTAACTACAACCACCAACTATCTTGTAAGTTGTGGTTTAAAGTCGAAAGTATTCTGTATCCTGGTTTTTCACTTGAATAATAGTATCCGTCAATCAATGTCAACATCATACTGTATCAAAGGCATTTGAAATTCTGCAATATCCTACATAATTAATTGTATGGTTGGCTCAAGGGAATAGTCAATACATGGGCCATTCACACAATACACGGTACATGTGACAAAGTACAAAAATGCGATTCAAACCCAAAGCATACCACTGCTCATTGCAAACCACAATTATGTACCAACTGATATCCAGAACAACCAACTCACGCGAGCTCAGCATACCCAAGTCCCTCTCGTCGACAAGGCCAATAAAAATTGGATCAAGGACCCGGTTGGCCCAAGAAGGGAAAAACAAAAGGCTGGAGGGTTCTCAAATGAGGTTACCCTACTTGACCCTACTAGCCAAACTTAGACCCCGGGCTGTAATGTTCAACCTCTTCTTTTATTTGGTAATCTCATTTGTACTCTTCACAGACTTCACAGACAGCTTCCGCTCCTAGCCCAGAGGCTTGGAAAAGGGGATAAAATTGGAAATTAAAATGCCATCAGAAAAGGGATGAAAATGGAGAAAAATACAGTCAGAAACCGTCCCTAATAGTCAGAAACCGTGAGAAACCGTCCCTGGTACCAAAAAACGGGCAAGGGGAGCTCAGGAACTATATGAAAATTTGGCTGGGACTAGAAGGGAGAATTCGCCCTGTGCTGCTTAATTTCACATTAGCCCGCCACAGCAGATGTGCAAATACGATTGGCACCATTCAAACAAATTGCGTCTAACATGGGCCTGAACTAATGAATGAGTCGGAATAAGGAATCGGAATGAATCAAGATGCCCAACTCTTGAAAATATACCATGTCTGTCAGTCTAACATAACATGTCTGACTCTGACAACATTTCTGACTCTGACAAAGACACAAGCTGCTCTTCTTTAACCATGGCCGGGCTCAGCTACCTTCTACTTTGTTCATGACGAATGTGACTGTGACTACTAATTTGATTCATGGGTGAGTCCTTCACAACAGGGCTTGGCTCCACGCTTTGGGCATATCCAAACTTCTCAAGATGGCGCACCACATCAGATACGCCAGCATACTCATGAACCTTCTGGAGACAATTTTCAAAGAAACATATCATAGACGAGAAAGCCGCGCAGCCCACTAAGCCACATCGCACGACAATCATATACAGCCGCGGTCTGCACTGCGGAGATCCAAAATCCCGGCTCTTCAATGAACACATGCGTAAAATCACTGTTTTCTGGAAATGACCACTGGTGAAGGAAATGCAAGTACCACCCATCGACCCATGGCAGACTATGACTCTGACTATCTCATTAAATTATATCAAAACGGTTCTGATAATGATATTCAACCAAGAATCACTTCATATCATTTTCGGTGAATCAGCTATGATTTAATCATATCATATTTCATGATTTTCATGGCATTTTCATTTTTACTATCCTACCGCCTACCTACCTACCGGCCTACCTACCGACCTACCTACCGACTTACCTACTGACCTACTTACCTTACCTACCAGTCATCTCTCTATCTATTGTTTGTATGTTCCCATGGTTCATGTGCACTGCATATCATCATCAGCCCCAGTCGCATGACTGAATGTACATAGCAAAAAGCAAGCTTCACAAGACCATGGGCCCTTATGAACATGATATGGACTGACATCTGACATACGGATACGGTTCCTGTTAGTACCCGTCCCCACTTTCTATAGCATTTATCATGTGTCATGTCAGATTATAATCAACTGTAAGGTAAAAAAAACTGTTGTGTTGGTTTACTGATTTGCGGTTAAACAGTTATACCATTACTTATGTTATAATGCTTTAGTTACACTGTTGTCTTTAACTGTTAACATTGAATCGCTGATAGCTTTTAAACTCGTAACTTAAATCTATAAACTTACAATTGGTAACTCAGAACTAAAACTTTTGACTAATGAATCCGATTAGCAATTCACAAAACCCAAGTCTAGAAACTCATTCCGATGCCTACTTTAGACCCATAAAATTACTTAACTACTTGCCATTATCATCCATTATCTACCAGGCGGTTGGCATCGACCAGGGATATCAATAACGATCTTGCTATACATGGGCCCATCAAAGAAAAATGGAGAAAGGCTTCTGGTGATTCACAACCATCATCACTATCACTGGCTATCACCATCACTATGACTATCAGGTATAGTTAAAAAAAACATATAGTTTCTGACACATTTCATATAGTTTCTACTGAATTGCATATGGTTTCTGGTTCACTACAACAACCCCAACATGGACACGTCAGAAACAGGTGTTTAAATAGGCTCCCAGTGGTTCTAATATATATATATATATATAGCCGCACACACTTTTTCCACGTGACACACGTTTCATTTGGAGAGAGTGAAGCTAACAGTTTCTTGAGGAAACCACAGAGTTTACTTTCATGGCCTTAAAGGCTATGATCAAGTGTAGAATGGAACTTGAACTCAGTACTCGTACCGAGGCGTTTTGTGGTCAAGAAAAGTTCGCATGGTAGCGGAGCCCTGACTGGCTTAGATCCTCTCGCTCCGGGCAGAGCAATAAGCTTCGGTGCTGTGACTGCTGCAGTTGAGATCTTAGAGATCCACAGGTGACTGGCTTCTGCAAAAGCCTTTGGAAGGCATCGCGGTTTCACTGGTCGGGCCTTAGAGGTCCGTGAGATGGCCACAGATCCGCAGACAGAAGCGCAGCAGCTAGCTGCGGCCTTGATCGCGGCAGCAAACAATGTGGCGCAATCTTCAACAGCATTGCGTCAAGCCCAAGAACAATTTGCAGCGCAGCAAGCAGCAGCGCAAGTGACGCAGGCGACCTCGCAGCCGACGTCGGTGACGCAAGCTGCAAGTGGCACTAGCAAGTTCTCCAATGCTGGAAAGATGGTCCGAATGCCCGATCCGTTCGTAGCAAACGGTGTAGATGCCGAGCAGGCAGCGTGGCCAGATTTCCTCCTGAACTTGAAAGCATGGCTGTGCGCAGCCGATGAGAACTTCGAGAAAGACATGCAGGATGTAGAAAAGGACCCGGATGCAGAGGTAGACATTGATTTACTGCCGGATGATGCTCAAGCGAGAGCTCGCGAACTGCACAGCATTTTCGTGGGACTTTTGAGGAACAGAGCATTGAAGGTCCTTCGGTCCGTGCAGAAACGCAACGGCCTTGAGGTCTATCGGCAGCTTGTGAAGCTATATACGCCCAACACAAAGCCTCGTTCCATGGCGATTTTGGCAGCGATCATGGGATTACCAGCTTTCAACAAGGAGAAGTCATTGTATGATCATGTTCAAGGGTTGGATAGGCTGATGTCAGAATATCACAAAGCTTGTGGCCACCATGTTCCGGAAGAAGTTGCACTTTCTGTTTTGATCCGTGGCCTCCCTGCTCATATTCGTCAACATGTTCAACTCAACCTCGAGGATACCAGTACATATAGCACAGTACGTACCAAAGTTTTGGGTTTCGAGTCGGTCACCAACAGTTGGTCTTCACAGCGGATTCATACTGAATTTGGAATCGCAGGAACTCAGCCGAACAATGGTCCTCAACCTATGGAAGTAGATATGGTTCAGTACAAGGGCAAAGGCAAGCCAGGCGGAAAGTCCAAATCGGACAAAGGTAAAGGTAAGCAAGGAACTAAAGGTAAGTTCGACAAAGGCAAATCGAAGGCTGACAAGGGCAAGGGCAAGCAACCAGACGCTGAAAGCAATGTTTGCCTGTACTGCAAGAAAGCAGGACACTGGAAACGTGATTGTCGGAAATTTCTTCGAGATAAGCAGAATGGTACTGTGAGACAAGTTGAGCAGCATGATTCCTCTTCTCAACCTCCTTCTTCGCCTTCAGCTTCCATCACTTCAAGCCCTCACACTACATATGTTGCACAAAGTTCTCCAACTGCAAGCCCTAAGACATCTTCAAGTTCGCAAGTTCGACGTGTTGCTTTTGAACCACTTTGGGAAGATAGTTCTTCAGTGTTTGTAGATGAGCTTCCTGGTTTGGAGATTTTCGATGGCCAAATTTCAGCGATAGTTGCAACTTGTTTTCCATGTGGCTCAGAGTGTTTTGCTGCAAGTGAAGTTCAGTGCTTTGACATGACATACACGGATCATGATGAAGACTGGACGTATGCATGGGACAATTGTGACCATATTCGGACTTTTGGGAACACCCACAGTGGTTGCAGTGATGATTCCATTCAGCATGTTTGCACAGTGAAGCTGGAAAGAAAGCTTAACTCGATACGTAATGTCTGGACGTTGCTTGGACTGGACTGTTGGGGTATCATCACAAACAGACCTGCTTTTGTAGATGTTTCCACGGCACCTTCGATGAGTTTGCTTTGGTACAGGACAACGCTGGTCAGACGTGGTGATGAATGGCATTTGGTAGAGCACAACCAATTCATTTCAGACCTCGTTTCCATGAATGCCACAATCCCAAATCCCAAAGGAATCAATGCAGTCATGACACTTGGACATGCCGTTGAGTGCACTCAAGAGCAATTAGGTTTTCATTCGGAAGTGATGCCACTTGACTTGCTTACACCGTCTCATCGCCCTGTGCCAGCTTCAGGTGAGACTCAAAGGACTCCAGAGGCAGCTCAGCCGGGACCTGATGCAATGGTTGATGCACCCATGCAACCTGTCAGTGGTAATCCCGATATGCATCCGGTAGCTGCTGATGAGCCCGTAGATGACCCAGCACCTGCAGCAGGCCCAGATGAGATCACAATTGATGGTTCACGTATCAATGCTTCAAGTTCACTTGTTTTGCTGAAAGCCGCGTGTGATTCACTAGGACTCTCAAAGAGTGGCAATCGTTCACAGTTGTTCAAGAGAATTGTTGAACATGTCAAGCACCAAGAGCTGCTGACTTCTCACAGCATCAAGCACAAGATTGCATCAGAGCTTCAACGCCCAGTCATCGCCCCAGGTGTTCCAGCAGAGCCCACAGAGCATGAGCGGAGAGAGCATGCAATGACCCACATACCATATCGTGCTTGGTGTGACTTGCGTGTAGCCCATAAAGGGAGGCAAGACCAACATCATGTCGAGAGTCATGCAACCAGTGCGCATTCAGTGGTGAGCTTCGATTTTGGATACTGTAGCAGAAAACCTGATGAATCAGATTCTCAGACAGTTTTGTTTATCCATGACCGATCCACAAAGTGGATGCACGCAGTGCCCACTGAGCGGAAGGCTGGAAGATGTTTGAAGTTCTTGGCTTCAGAAGTTTGCAGAGTAGTCACATGGGCAGGACACACCAGTGTTTGCTTCAGGTGTGACAACGAGCCATCAACTCTTGCCATCCTCGAAACTGCAAAGAAAGTTTTGATTTCATTGGGCATTGCAACCACCACTGAGACCATTGTGCCAGGTAACAAGCCGGCCAACGGCGCAGCCGAGGCCACAGTGCAGGCCATCCGTAACCAAGCAAATTTGCTGGTGAATCAGATCGAGAAGATGTGCGGCGCTGGAGACCAGATCATCTTCAGCGCAAACCACCCAGTATACCAATGGTCAATAATAGTCCACGCAAGCTTTCTGCATAATCGCTTCAATGTGACACAAGGTGAAACGCCGTATGAACGTGCTTCATCTAGGGAGTACACTGGTCGCTTGTGCACATTTGGAGAACAAGTCATGGGCTACTTGAATCCAAAGGTCAAAGGACTCATGTTTCCATGGACTCCACGTGAACCTGAGATAGGTGCTGAACAGTTGGCAGAGATTGACAACCTTGCGGAATTGGTTGAAGTCATGAGACTCAAATCCTTAGGTGTTTTGCTGCCTCCAGAGCAAGTAGGTAGTGACAATCCTAAGATGTTGTCGACAAAGTTTGTGATCACATGGAGAGACAAGACAATAGACGGCAAACGCTGCTGGCTCAGACGAGCCCGCAAAGTGGCCAGAGAGTTCAACTGGCTCAGTGAGCGCGAAGATTTGTTTTCGCCTGCCAGCTCTTCTGTAACTAGCAAGCTGCTTCCTGCTTTGTACTTGCACCTGAAGGATCAGAATCCGAACATTCGATACACCATGGCAAGCGCAGACATCACAGATGCATTCCTCACGGTTCCACAGAAGCAGCCGACATTGGTGAAGTATGGTAGTCAGTTGTTTGCTTTGGGACGTGTGTTGCCAGGGCAGAGAGACGGCAGCCAGTTGTGGTTTGACTCAGTGACTTCCTTCCTCAAACAGGAACTTCAGGCCGAATCATGCCAAGGCTATCCATCCCTACTTCGCAGTGCAGAGTGTTTCATTTGGCTTCATGTGGATGACATGTTGATCGTTTTAGAAAGTGCTTACTTTGAACACAAGCTTGTCCCAGTGTTAGAAACCCGATACAAGGTGTCAGTGCAAAGCATTCAGAACCCCGGTGACAGTGTAGAGTTTTTGAAGCGCGCACATGTTTTGATTGAGGAAGATACCATTTTGGTTCATCAAAATCCCAAGCATTTGTTGAAGCTGTGTGAAGTGGTTGGGGTTCCAGAAAATGCCAAACCAAAGAAGGTGCCATGTCATGAGAGTGTCAATGAAGTTGACACCACCGAAGAGTTGTCTCAAGCATACTGCTCAAGATATCGATCAGCAATTGGCATTCTGATGTATCTCTCTTCAGATCTGGTGGAATGTGCTTACTGCATCAGAGCATTGGCGCAGCAGATGGCCAAGCCCACTCAGCGAAGCTGGACTATGCTGAAGCACCTCACCATGTATTTGTTGGGAGCCCGGTCATATGCCTTGCAACTCAGGATCAAAAGCAATGGACTGTGGCACACTCCAGATGATGAAGGTGACTTCACTCTTGAGATGTTCAGCGATGCCGACTGGAGCGCATGCAAGAAATCCCGACGCTCAGTCAGTGCTGGCTTGGTGTTCTTCCGAGGATGTCTACTGCTGGTAACGTCAAGATCTCAGCGAGTGATTGCTTTGAGTTCAGCAGAATCAGAACTGCACGCTGCAGTCTCAGTGACATGTGATGGAATACTTTTGAAGCTATGCGTTGAATTCTGCCTCCGCCAACCAGTTCGTTTGAAGCTGCTACTCGACAACGTGGCAGCAAAGCAGATCATGTTCAGAAGTGGCGTTGGAAGGGTAAGGCATTTGTCGTGCCGTGCCCTGTGGATTCAGCAGCATGTCAAGGAGAAGAAGTTGGAAATTGCCTCCATTCCAACCAAGTACAATGTGTCAGACATAGCTACAAAGAAGCTATCGTGTGATAGAATGAAGTTCTTGATGAACATGGCCGGCGTCTATGACATGGACTCCAGGGAATTGGTTGGAACCACGGAAGCTCGCAGAGAACAGCAAGGTGAAGACATGAAGGCTACCCTTGGAGCCATTCGACAGAATCTGGGAGAGCCTGCAACTCATGCAGGTGTTCAGAAGTCGAAAGCTTTTCTTCGATGTTTGGCTTTTGCCATGATGATGATGTCCGCTGACGCCTTGAGCCTGGATGATAGTTTGAGCCCAATGCCAACAGTGGAGATCTATGCGCAGAGCATTCAATGGAGCCTTGTGCTTCTGACAGTGGCGTCCCTCAGCTTTGTTTGTTGGATGTATCCTGCACCCAACGACCTTCCAGAGCCAGAACCTGAGGAAGAGCTGCGTGAAGAGTTGGTGGGAGTCGAGACTGGCTTCCACAAGATCAATGTGTACACATACCTATGCAGATGCATTGAGCAGGTACACGAGTTGCACGACACACTGCAGAACGATGAAGAGCTTGCAGATTTACGAACTTTGTATGCGTCATTCATGAGCCTCTACAACAAGTTTGAAGAGCATGGAGTTACCCAAGAGTCCGTGAACGAAATGCATTTCCTGCATGAGCAACTGCAGCGACATGATGATGAATTCGATGCTCGTGACGGCTTACACGAGCTGATGTGTGCGATGGCAGAACCTGCAGTGGAAGACGTGATCCCTCCTGAAATGCCAGACAGCTTGCAGAGCAGCAGATTGAGTCGCCCTTTGAGCCCATGAGCCCAGAACACATGTGCCTTTGGATGATCCAGAGGTTGACCGAGAAGATCTCATCGGGAATGAGGGACGGCAAAGTCCAGAGAGTGGAGCGCTTCACTGCAATGAGACAGATTATGGTGAGCGTCATCAAGATTTGTCAAAACGACGCCAGTCAGAGACACAGGGCATTGTACATGATGAGACAACTGACTGACATTCCCACTGACGATGAAGATGAGTCAGGATGGGGTGACTAGCTAAAGCCTTCAGTGAAAAATATAATGAGAGCAGTGTGTGAGCGGCAGTTTCTTTTGTACAGTTTCACTGGATTTGCACTACACTAGCGTTTGTGCAAAGGCGGGGTGCTTAACCTTTTGCACCTGTGCATACAGCTATATGTACCTGTATAGTCAGCACCATAGCTTAGCTATATATATATATAGCCGCACACACTTTTTCCACGTGACACACGTTTCATTTGGAGAGAGTGAAGCTAACAGTTTCTTGAGGAAACCGCAGAGTTTACTTTCATGGCCTTAAAGGCTATGATCAAGTGTAGAATGGAACTTGAACTCAGTACTCGTACCGAGGCGTTTTGTGGTCAAGAAAAGTTCGCATGGTAGCGGAGCCCTGACGGTCCAACACGGACCCGAAGGGCATCCGTGTTGGCTTAGATCCTCTCGCTCCGGGCAGAGCAATAAGCTTCGGTGCTGTGACTGCTGCAGTTGAGATCTTAGAGATCCACAGGTGACTGGCTTCTGCAAAAGCCTTTGGAAGGCATCGCGGTTTCACTGGTCGGGCCTTAGAGGTCCGTGAGATGGCCACAGATCCGCAGACAGAAGCGCAGCAGCTAGCTGCGGCCTTGATCGCGGCAGCAAACAATGTGGCGCAATCTTCAACAGCATTGCGTCAAGCCCAAGAACAATTTGCAGCGCAGCAAGCAGCAGCGCAAGTGATGCAGGCGACCTCGCAGCCGACGTCGCTGACGCAAGCTGCAAGTGGCACTAGCAAGTTCTCCAATGCTGGAAAGATGGTCCGAATGCCGGATCCGTTCGTGGCAAACGGTGTAGATGCCGAGCAGGCAGCGTGGCCAGATTTCCTCCTGAACTTGAAAGCATGGCTGTGCGCAGCCGATGAGAACTTCGAGAAAGACATGCAGGATGTAGAAAAGGACCCAGATGCAGAGGTAGACATTGATTTACCTTTCCCTTTGGCCTTCCCAAAGGCGGCCAAAGCAGCCATCTCGTGTTGCAATGCATCACCAATCATGGCATAATCATAATCGGTCAAGTCATCACCTAAATCACTGACTGCATTCAGACATGTGGCTTCCCATTCTTCAACTTCTTCAACTTTTTCATATTCGTCTTGGGATTCTTCCATCACAGGATCTGTCGTTCCGAGCAGTCCCACATATTCATCGGGAGCATAGTTCTCATAGTGGGAATCATAGCCATAAGAACCATCCTCATCATACCAGTCATTTGTTTCAGGGGCATCGACAAAGTAACCAGATCTCCAGGTAGGTTTTCCCTTGCCTTTGCCCTTGGGGATTCCCTTGGGTGGTGCACTGGCTGTCGAGGTCAATGACCTGCCTCCCTTCAAGTGCACGGATCCGTAGTGTTCGATAAGGGTCTTTCCAACTTTCTCAAAATTTAGAGGGGTACCCGCTATTGCCTTCACAACCAAAGCCTCTTGTTGAGTAATTCCTGACATTTCGATCATCAATTCACATCTCATGAGTTCACTCAGTTGCGTGGTCGCATCCATCTCGGAAATCATGCGCCACCAACGACGGCGTCGGTCGACAAAGCTGACCATACTCCCTGTGTTTTGTCTTGAAAGCATTCCACCTCGGAGCTGACCCAACCGAAACAACTCACGGGCTTCTTCAGTAGCTCGTGGAAAGACGCTTTCCTTCAGCTTTTGGATGAGAGTCCTGATTCCGTTGTCGGCGATCAGGGCCGCAACACCAAGATCTCGCGCCACAAGAAATGCGTCGCCTCGAAGGCCTTCCATGATCCTAGATACAAGGAGGGTCCTTTCCTTAGCTATGTCTTTCTCTGGATCATAGCTCTTCTTCTTCGTCCTAGGTGGGGTTGACAAAGTACGAGAAGGCTCCGTTGGGGGAAAATCCTTCCCGTCCTCGTCCTCCACTCCTGTGGCCAATCCTGGTCCACTCTCTGCATCATCTTCCAGTTCGGCCTGGACCGCCAGTCGAAGCGCTTGTTCCTGGGCCTCCAACAGCTCCAGACGTAGCGAAACACGGAATTCCCAGTCATGGTATGACGCAGGATCTCCATGGAAGATCGGAGCACCTGATCGTGTTTCCGATGGACCACGGGCAGTGCTGGCATCGGCTCCATAACGGAGTCCGGCCACTGACATGCTTGGCTGCACACGCGTCTGCTCAGCAGAAGGGTACAATTTCAACGGTCTTGCGCAGATTGATTGGACTCGCCCTAGCAGCACCCCGGAGTCAGACAACTGACCTGCTCCGCTACCAGTATCAAACTGGTCGGGCTGCCGAGCACAACCTTTTGTTCGCCTAAAGCTCAAGGGCCCTTGATCCATTAAAGGGCCAGCGGTAACATGGGTAATTTCACACCCTGGTTCATCACAAACTAGAAAATCGACCATAGATTCACAGTTTCTGTTTGATCTCCGCCTGCATCCACAGCAACCTCGTGTCATAGCGTTTCAGTCTTCCAACTCGAGATCGTTGAAGCCACTGTCTCCCACTCGAGGAGTCACTTCGAATCTCAAGCCTGACTGTCTCTGAGGTCAAAAATTCGAAAACGCTTTTCAAGAGTTTCCCTTATTTGCTATCGGCTTTCACTGCACGGCTGAGAAATATTCAAGCGGAGTCCAAACTCACACAGTGGCATCATAACTCCTTTTTTCTCCATTGGGGTTTTATCGCATCTCAGGCCGCGCACTTAGGCAGCGGTCTGGCACTGCACGGCAGTGAAACTTGTGTTACTTTGGATGAACTTGGGTGTGCACTTGCACACAGATTGGTCGAAAATAATTTTGGGTGCACTTGCACATACAGGGCGGGAAACGAGCCCACGAGCGGGTGGGTCAGAATAGATTGTGACCACTTGGTCACCTACTAAACGACCGAAAACCCCACAAGATGTTAGACCACATGGACATGCATGTTCTGCCACATGACTTGAATGCTCTGTGCAACTTCTGCTGCATCCACTTGGATGGCTGCGGGCGAGCATGAAATGAACAGGTGAAGAGGCAAAACATGCAAATGAAAGACTCTCTTCAACTCAAAATTGGTTTTAGCAAATTCATCCTTGAAGGAGTACTCAGCAGTGCCTTTCCGTGATGAACCACATAAATACGTTCCAGCCAAGCAATTAAAATCACATCATGTTCCATGAGGCTCCTCTTATTTGCTATCGGCTTTCACTGCACTGCTGAGAAATATTCAAGCGGAGTCCAAACTCACACAGTGGCATCATAACTCCTTTTTTCTCCATTGGGGTTTTATCGCATCTCAGGCCGCGCACTTCCCCCCCATGTAATGGCCGCACTTCTTAGAACGGATTCTACTTCAACTTTATCCGCTCGTAACTGACCAGCTGATTGCACTTCTTCCCTTGAAAAGGAGTCCGCAACATTGCTCTGACTTGGGACTCTCTCGAACCAAAGAGGGTATGACATGGCCTGCTCAAGAAGGAAGAGACGGCTTAACAGCTTGTCGCTGGATACATTAGCCGACCAACTCTTCAGAACAGAACCTCTCACCGACTCACTGTCTGTGAAAACGACTACCTTGCTTTCTTTCGTGGTTTCCAGCCACAGAGTGACCGCGATAACGACGGCCAGCATCTCCAACTCTTGGATTTTTCCGACTGCCTTGCAGCAGAGATAGAGTTTCTGGCTGGATCCTCACACTGAAAAAGTTCAACATGGTTCCATACATGTCAAGGAGCACTCCTCCAACTCCCGAGTACCTGTTCTCAGCGAAAGAGGCGTCGACGTAAATGTGATACACCGAGCAAAGTGCTCCGGACACCAACCGTGGTCTGCAGTCATTCAGCAGTCCAGCTAAACCCTCGAATGCATTTGCGGTTACCTTGTCGAGAGTGCTCCTACCCAACGAGATGTGGCAATTCACAGCTCTCAAGCAGTTCCTGAAAGCCCTGCCGAAGATTTGACAGATTGTAGTCGCCCTCTTAGTCTTTCAACATCCTTGGGCTTGATGTAGCCACGCTTCAGAACCACACTGATCTCTTCCACCAACTCTTGCTTCCTCTCCTCCGTGTTGGTTATCCAGCACATCCTGTCTCCCGATTGGGTCAAATCGAGCGTGACCCCCAGGACCTTGCAAACGGAACTGAAGTCTAGCAGCTTCTGTTCAGACACCTTCCAACCTAAAATGGAGAAAAGCGTGGAGACACACATATCGGTGTGGCGGGACGCCTCAGAGGTGGACACGCAGAGAAAATCGTCGAAATAAGACGACCACATCAATTTGAGCAGGCGAGCTCCAACCTTCCATATTCCCAAAGAGATCCTCAAAAAGGCGGTGGGGCTCGTTTGAAATGGGGTCGTACACTGCCAAATAAGAATCCAACTCAAAGGCTTCATCTGACAACGGGACTTGTTTGTAGGCGTCACTGAGGTCCCAACACTTGGCTACCAGGCTCGAGCCAGCTTTGCTTTCAGAAAGTCGGAGCCACACAGATATCATTGCTGCGATGTGGTCTATGGTATGGACGGTGACGCCCTCACTCTGAACAACTGACGAGTTCACCATGGAGGCTTTATAGTCATCTATGGGCCGCACTTTATTCTTCTGTCTCACAGCAAATCTCTTGGTGAGAGTGGCCCCCTCAAAGAGCTCGTTGACGTCAATGCGACCCAATAGGTCGCCCTTCTCTCTCTCTGTCAAGGTTGCTTCATAGAGAAGTCGGTCCAGCTCTTTGTCGCCAGAGCTGGATATCGTTTTGAGTAAGGCTTCTCTCCCCAAGTCCGATGCTCTCCTCAACTCCGGACATGAAATGCTTGCCGGCCTGAATTTCTGCTTGAAACTGTGGGACGAAGGCAGCGTGCCCGTAAAGTCGAAGCCCTTGGCTATGTCCTTGACCAGGCCAACGTCATCATGGCCTGAATCTGACAGTAACCGTTCAAAGAGCAGCAACTTCTTTTCGATACAAAATTTCCGATCTACGTTGGCCAAGACTTTCTTTGAGCTTCTTTTCCTCCGTCTTGAGCTCTTCAGTCAAACTTACCCATCTCCTCATTTCAGCCGTCCTGTGTTGTGCCAAGTCACGACTGTTCATAGATGAATTGTATTGCACGACTTCAGCAATCTCCGACGGGAACTTGGAGATGGTCAGGCTGGGGTGCCCAATTTCCAATGCTGCTTCGATGAATTCAGAAGGGGACCTGTGAATACCTATGGTACACTTGCCGTCTAGTGTCTCTTTGAGATTGAAACCCTCACTCGCGATACACCCCGGGGAAAGAGTGCTCAATTTTCTGGGGAGAGGAAGCAAAGGATCCTGGGAAGGCCACTCTTGGATGGTCTTGAATTCCGAAACCATTGGCTGCAGGTGGCTGCGGCACGAAGCGTATGAATGGATTGTTCCTGTTGGGCAAATGCAGGGGGCGCGACTTCGACGCCACAATCTTGCAGCTGGAGGGCAATCAACATCGCCATGAATTTAGCCAAAGGCCAAGGATAAGCAGTCTCTTGCGATGTGGCCCATTGACCTGATTGAAGTTGACCCCAGGGTTCGTGACTGTGAGTTTTATCACAATGGAGCTGCAACTCTTGAAATCTGGGAATGTTATGCCAAAGTTCGGTGAGTTTGCGTCGGGCGCTTCCGTACATGCAGTGATGGAAGCTGACTTCGTGCCACGAAATTTGGCGCTTCAAAGTAAGAAAGGCTTTGGTTTGCCACACGAAGGACCTGCCTGGATTTTCGACGCTCCAAAATTTCTGCTGCTGATGCAAGAGTGCAATGAGGTCGGCGGTTCGTTGGTACGAAAGATTGACTGGACTCGCATGGCGAGGGTGCCGAGATGTGGCAGGCCGTCTGGATGTTGATCAGTGCGGACGATGGGTGGATTTCTTTGGTTCCTTCTCTGTATGAGGCGAGCACGGCTGGCCGTACCGCAGGGCGGTGCAAAATGGCAATAGCAACAAGCTGGATTCTGTACATATTCGTGGACTAATTGGAAATGATCTGGCTTGGTGAGATCGAGCTGCAAAACGGGACACTTCAAGCTCTGAGGTAGCTTAGAATCCACCCCGAAGCTGTCATTCAACCCTAAGGCTCGCATGGAGGCAGTCAACCTGCCGGTTCCGCAGAAAATCTCAATGGCAAAAAGGTCTTGAATAAGCTGATGTCCTGAAAACTGTTTTGAACAGGCAGGATAGCTATCCAAAGACAGGAAAGATCTCTTGGATCATTTTGGGTGTTGTGGCAAAGGATGGGGCTTGGCGCAGTTGACCTCTGCACAAACATGCCATCCTTTGGCGCACTGTTGACCGTGGACTTCATTCGAAGCAGGTACTCTCTGGTGCGTGATTGCGCACTCACCAACGGGGGTCACTCTCTTCATTCGAACCCATTCACCCCCGGTCGTGAGTGCGTCATTTCGAAAACCAAATCGCGCGATATCACCCCCGCAGTCGAAAAAAAAGAGTCACTTCGAGCGTTGCATTTGGGGGAAAACATTGTTTATCATGCTTTGCGACGCGTTTTTTTCAACCAGTTTACATGCATGTCATGAGTTGCATGTCTCTTGAGCTCGTTTGCCACAATGTCGCATTCGCAATTTGGCGGAACAGGGTTTAAGTAAGACGCTGGCTTTCATGAAATGACAGCCTAGTCTTTCTAACCCGGCGCAATACTATGAAACGAGTTCCGCCTAACCAAGCAAAAAGAAAGAGAGGTTACGTATTTTTTCGCTTTTCCTCAATCAAACTTTCAAAAATTTGCAACTTCCACCTTTGAAAATGTTGAAAAGAAACCCGTTCTCGCAACACTGGAAATCAAACCACCTCTGGAGAACACAGATGAATTTATGTTCCACTGACGCTTCATCAAATCAAGGATTGGGTAGTGGAGGGCACAAAAATGCAATTGCAATCAACGTATCAATCTCTAGCCCTCCTTACTTCGTCTCCCACCCTTTCGTTTTTACATTGTATTTCTCGTCTACGCACGTGACCAACCTTGCCCCCGCAGTCGAAAAAGAAGAGCGCAGCAGTTTCACTTCGAGCGTTGCATTTGGGGGAAAAAAATTGTTTATCATGCTTTGCGACGCGTTTTTTTTGAACCAGTTTACATGCATGTCATGAGTTGCATGTCTCTTGAACTCGTTTGCCACAATGTCGCATTCGCAATTTGGCGGAACAGGGTTTAAGTAAGACGCTGGCTTTCATGAAATGACAGCCTAGTCTTTCTAACCCGGCGCAATACTATGAAACGAGTTCCGCCTAACCAAGCAAAAAGAAAGAGAGGTTACGTATTTTTTCGCTTTTCCTCAATCAAACTTTCAAAAATTTGCAACTTCCACCTTTGAAAATGTTGAAAAGAAACCCGTTCTCGCAACACTGGAAATCAAACCACCTCTGGAGAACACAGATGAATTTATGTTCCACTGACGCTTCATCAAATCAAGGATTGGGTAGTGGAGGGCACAAAAATGCAATTGCAATCAACGTATCAATCTCTAGCCCTCCTTACTTCGTCTCCCACCCTTTCGTTTTTACATTGTATTTCTCGTCTAAGCACGTGACCAACCTTGCCCCCGCAGTCGAAAAAGAAGAGCGCAGCAGTTTCACTTCGAGCGTTGCATTCGGGGGAAAAATTCTTTATCATGCTTTGCGACGCGTTTTTTTCAACCAGTTTACATGCATGTCATGAGTTGCATGTCTCTTGAACTCGTTTGCCACAATGTCGCATTCACAATTTGGCGCAACAGGGTTTAAGTAAGACAAAATGTTGAAACTCTCATTCGGCTGATTTGACTGCATTGTTCACTGCGCTGCGAACGTATCTGAATCGCAAGGGCTGTGCAAATGAGAGCTCGCCGCGTTACTTTTCCTGATTCGAGGCAAGGTTCCGCAGATGTTGGATAGACATGATGGCATGTTCACTTAGCATGAAGAGCGGGCAAAAGCCCACTATTTTTCATTTTGAAAGCAAACTAGTACAATTTTGTTTGGCTTCATCATTCATTTCCAAACGTAAGAAACATTACTTCGTTGGTTTTCTTTGCACATTTGTGCGGCAATGAGTTTCTCCAGGTACATGTCTTGAAAACCAAAAGTAGACCCGGTCTTGCCTGATTCGTAGGCAGGTGTAATTCAGAGATGATCAAAATTTCTTTGCATAGCTACGGGTCTCGAAATGGTTACCATGGACTTGCTGGTGGACGCTGCTTGGAGAACAACATCTTAGCAATGCATATTTGGACAATTTGTTGCCTTCTGGCATATCTTCTTGAAAGACATAGTTTATGTTTCTTGAAGCTGGCTTTGACAATGCTGTTTTACTACTTCTGGTCGGAACCCAAAAAGGGAAATGGCTGGAGTAAAGATCTAAGTCTCTTGTAAATCGCTAAATCATACTGACGTTGTTGATTTTGTAACTCGTTAAAACTCCACTCCGATCCAGGCCATTGCTTGTGACACAGCGCTGCTGAACAAAAGATGCGCGGTGCTTTCTGCATGGGATTGTTGCTCGATTGTTCTGCGGGTTCATTCTGATCCGGCATTGGATTTGAGGCTTTCAAGTGGCAGACTTATGAAAAACATTAGCAAGGTGGGTCCACTGCAGATCGTCACGGCTCACACAGTGTAGAGCAGTAGCAGACCATGCAGCCACGGCCACCACCTACGACAGCCCAGCTTGCTTTGCAGCCACATCTTCCATCGCTCCATGGCAGCCAATCTTTACATGCTTTGGCGCAGGCCATGCAAAACCACCCAGAAGATGCTGAAAAGCAGCTATTCGGCGTGATCAGCTTCGCTGCTGTTTGCAGTGGTGCTGATTTGGAGTGCAAAGGCCGAGCAATGGATGCAGGGGCTTTTGAGGCGTTGCTTCATGCTTTGCGCTACCATAGTCATGTCCCCTCCATGCAAGAATGGGTTGCCCGCTGTTTTGAGAGCCTCCCAATAGCTTTGTGGAGCTTTATTCAGACCCTGAAACGGGATCCCCAAGATGTTGAGTTGCAGATTCTAGGTGGCATGTGTCTGGCAAGACTCCACAAACCGGAGTGTCATGAGGCTGCTGCGGACGCTGGTGTTTGTGAGGCTTTTGTCCAAGCAATGCGCTTGCACGCCAATGACAATGAAGTGCAAAATGCTGCAGCAATTGGTCTTCGTGCAAACTGTCGTGGTCCAACTTCCAAGCCACTACCGCCCAAGGTAGCCAACAAAACAACCAAGTTGGCATTGGGTCATGGTGCCGTGGATGCCCTTGTGGAAGCCGAAGACTTCGACGTGCTATACAATTGCACTCTTGCGCTTGGCAGTATTGTTAGATTCAGAGCGCAGGAATGCCGCAAGCATGCGGGTGAGATCGTCCAGGTCATGTTACGCGCATTGAAGAGCCCTCGTCAAGATTTCAGGGTGACATTTGTGGCCAAGATGTGTCTCAAAGATGTTCCAGGTGCTTTGTGCAGCCTCGTGGAAACCATGAATTCTGCCCCTGCCGATGTCGATGTGCAACATTGGAGCTCGTGGTGGTTGGCAGAGGTATTTTCTGCGGATATCACTGGTCCCCTCATTGTCGACTATCCAACTACCTGTGTTTTGCATGCCTTGGTTTGTGCTATGCAAAAGCACCCCACTCACGTGCAGACTCATGCAGCTGTTGCACTAGGCGCCATTTGTGCAGGGTGGGACTCAGATGCACTCGAGCGCCAGAGGAACGCTGTGGATGCTGGTGCTTTGCAAGTTGTAGTCCAGGCCTTGGTCTAAGCGACAGAGTCAGGTTTTTTGTGTTTATCACGCTGTTGTTGCTCTCATCCATGCTCAATCAATACGATACAACGTGATGCAACGTGTTCCTTTGGAAAGCAACATGTTGCATGTGCTTTGAACCCTGTCCAGGCCATGAGAAACCATTCATATGATGCAAAGGTGCAGGCTGCCAGCGCCCGCTGCTTTACGAGGATTTCTATTGCTCACGCCTCTGGAACGGCTGACGTCTTGCAGATGATGCTCCATACTTACCATGCTCATCATCGAGATGCTGAAGCACGCAAATGGATCGCCTTGGGAGTTGCAATGTTGCAAGGCGTAGCAGTTGCGCATCCCGAAGTCTCCCATATTCTATGCCAAGTCATCCAAGACTATCCTCGGGATGCGGAAGTACAATACATAGCTTCGCTGGGAATGGCAAATGTCGCATTTGGTTTGCCGCCTGCTGTGGGTGTGTCAGCCTGAGAGATTGTTTGAACACTGTCAATGAGTGTCTTTTCTGTGAGCCCTGCATTGACCTGCAATCCGCTTCCTGTAGCCCAACATGCATCACTTATTGCCCATTGCTTCAACTCCACATGGTCCGCTTGGTGCAAGGTCAGAGGAGTCTCACCCTGGCTGGCAAAGAGGCATGAAAAGACAAATCAATTGGAAGATCAGGATAGCAAGCGCATCGTCAGAAAGGCATTGATGATAGATGCCTCTTAACTGGTTGTGCAAAAGGTTCCAGAGACTTCGCCCTCATGTCAGCAGGTACGGGTGCTCAGCAAGTAAGATTGTGGCAGCGTTTTCTTGCATTTGTCTGAAGTCACGTGCAAAGTTGTCATCAGTTCAAAGCAACATGGAGATCCAAAGAAATCAAGACTTCAAGGTGGAACGACTTGCAAAAGATGAAGCAATCCAAGAGGTGCTGGGACTAGCCAACATGAGTGGATGCATGTACAGCTTCCATTTGTTCTGCTTTCTTTCCTTGCTTCAGCTCCCATGTTTTAGGTGGAAGACGTCACAGTTGAGGCCAGATCTGTTGTTACCAGAGAAGGGCATGCGCAGAATCACTGGACAAAGTGGCATTGAACTGGTCAACTTGTGCAAAAGGTTCCAGAGACTTCGCCCTCATGTCAGCAGGTACGGGTGCTCAGCAAGTAAGATCGTGGCAGCGTTTTCTTGCATTTGTCTGAAGTCACGTGCAAAGTTGTCATCAGTTCAAAGCAACATGGAGATCCAAAGAAATCAAGACTTCAAGGTGGAACGACTTGCAAAAGATGAAGCAATCCAAGAGGTGCTGGGACTAGCCAACACGAGTGGATGCATTTACAGCTTCCATTTGCTCTGCTTTCTTTCCTTGCTTCAGCTCCCTTGTTTTAGGTGGAAGACGTCACAGTTGAGGCCAGATCTGTTGTTACCAGAGAAGGGCATGCGCAGAATCACTGGACAAAGTGGCATTGAACTGGTCAACTTGTGCAAAAGGTTCCAGAGACTTCGCCCTCATGTCAGCAGGTACGGGTGCTCAGCAAGTAAGATTGTGGCAGCGTTTTCTTGCATTTGTCTGAAGTCACGTGCAAAGTTGTCATCAGTTCAAAGCAACATGGATATCCAAAGAAATCAAGACTTCAAGGTGGAACGACTTGCAAAAGATGAAGCAATCCAAGAGGTGCTGGGACTAGCCAACATGAGTGGATGCATTTACAGCTTCCATTTGTTCTGCTTTCTTTCCTTGCTTCAGCTCCCTTGTTTTAGGTGGAAGACGTCACAGTTGAGGCCAGATCTGTTGTTACCAGAGAAGGGCATGCGCAGAATCACTGGACAAAGTGGCATTGAACTGGTCAACTTGTGCAAAAGGTTCCAGAGACTTCGCCCTCATGTCAGCAGGTACGGGTGCTCAGCAAGTAAGATTGTGGCAGCGTTTTCTTGCATTTGTCTGAAGTCACGTGCAAAGTTGTCATCAGTTCAAGGCAACATGGATATCCAAAGAAATCAAGAGTTCAAGGTGGAACGACTTGCAAAAGATGAAGCAATCCAAGAGGTGCTGGGACTAGCCAACATGAGTGGATGCATTTACAGCTTCCATTTGCTCTGCTTTCTTTCCTTGCTTCAGCTCCCTTGTTTTAGGTGGAAGACGTCACAGTTGAGGCCAGATCTGTTGTTACCAGAGAAGGGCATGCGCAGAATCACTGGACAAAGTGGCATTGAACTGGTCAACTTGTGCAAAAGGTTCCAGAGACTTCGCCCTCATGTCAGCTACAGGTGCTTACTTCTTTGCTGATAAGATCTTTCAAGCCTGCTTTTGAAGGGCATATCTTTTTGATTTCCATTAACCGGCCTATCTTAACATCTTTAAGCCAGCATGAAATCACTGCAGTTTGAGCTGAGCTGCTGTTAGCCGAGGACTACCACGGCTCTCTTGCCTTATGGATGGTTGTGTGTGGCTTAGTGATCTTTGCTTCATCCTGTGTGAAGCACCTATAGCTTCTTGGTTCAGTAAAGGTGATTCTTCTCGGACTTGCTGAGGGATACATCCGAGACCAAGGCATGCCGAACGCTGGTGGGTGAATGACAAGATGCACTTTTCAAGAGATTTCACACGGTTCCATCAAGAGATGTTTATAGGACGGTTGCAAGGACGGCAACAAGCATGGACTCTCTCAACCTGGAAGATTCGAAGGATATTTGCTTGAGAAGCAAACGCAAGTGATGATGTCCGAGCATCAATGAACAGTGTAAATACCTGGCTATGAACCATAATCTAGGTAAGCCTAACTTGATGGAACCATTGTGAACAAATTGGAATCCCAAAACGAGGCTGTTGGCTAGTTGATGACCCTGTTTTGTCACAGTTTTCATTTTAATTGGTGCGAAGCTAGCAAGTGGTAATGCAGCTCCAAGTCCCAGGCACACAAAGTCCTAAGACCACAAATGAGCACAGCGCCTTTTACAGCGCCACAGCGCAGCCGTTAAGGCCTTTCGACCCACCCTTGATCCAAAGATCGACACAGACATGTCATGTGATGTCTATGCCAACCCAAGCGCACAGCGTGCAATTCACATGGGTGAAAGCACAAAATGATAAAAAGAAATTGGCAAGGCATCAGGATGGGTGATCATCTCGCTCCAGCACCAGCCGGACGAAGCTTCCAAGCTCATCCAGCAGCGTTTCACCATCCTGGTTCCGAATGAACGGAGTCTGGGGAGCACAGGCACATGTCGAGCAAGGAACACGCTCGACCACGTTCGATGCAGAGCAGTTCTGCAAATGGTGGCAATCTTCAACTTGGTGCCACACTGTACCATGCTTTGCGATCCACAGCCGCTTGTACATAGGATGGAAGGCCGACAGCTGTTCGAGTTCACGTTGAGCTCGATGGCAAATCTTCACGGCCTCCAACACTAGCTCTCCCAAACTTTCTGCCTCACCGGTGGCCAAGGACAGTGCTCTCATGTATTGATGGGCTGCGTCGTGCTTCTCCTTAGCACACTTCTGCATCTTCAAGTGTTGGTCCTGCAGGGATTCCTCAACTTGCTTGTGTAGGATCTCTGCCATCTCTGCAGCCTCCTCACCCTTCTTGATGTCATCGCGCTGCCCAAACTTGTAGCTCACGGCGATGATCAAAGCATTCCAGAGCATGAAGCCTTCGATGGCCACGAAGTCAAAAATCTCCCATGAAGACATCATGTCTTCCAAGGGTGGTTCTTCCAAGGGACATTGGTTGTCCTCCAACAATGATGCCTCAGCACCAGGCATCCATTCCAGAGCCAGCAGGCTCAGCAGCAAAATGACCATGCCGAAGTGGTAGTGCAGGAAGTAGTTGAAGCCGTTGAGGTAGTGCGTGAAATTGTGGAAGCCGTTGAGGTAGTCCAGGAAATTTGGATGGCCGACATGGCTCGGCCGGGCGATGACATTCTCAGACACCTTGACATTCTGAGCAATGTCCACATACTTGATCACCTCGTTGGATCGCACCACGTTGATCTCTTCAGTGGGGATCTCCTCGTGCTCGTGCCTCGTCACAGCATGCTCTTCCATGTTGCGATTTCGCTCCTCCACGGTCTTACGCTTGGCCGCGGTGTAGGTTGGATCCCAAACCAATTTGATCTTGCCATAGCGCAACCTGTCCGCCAGAAGCTGCCTCGCTGACTCCTTGGTGAGTCCATCGGCGAATTGTCGCTCTGAGCTCACCCAACGAAAGTTGCCGCCCAAAGCCGTCAGCTGCTCCTTGGTCACTCGCACTTCCAAACTGGTGCGCTTGTCCACAGCAGCATTGTTGATGGTGTCGCGGTGGAAGCTGTCGTAGAGAGCTTTGGCGTCCGTCACCATGACTGGATGCAGTGAGCTCTTCAAACCAATGAGCTCTGCCAGTTGCAGCTCCGGGTGAATCAAATGCTCCCAGTAGCGGCAAGCCATCTCAAGAGCATCCACTGCCTCTCCTGCCGCTTCAGCTTCCGCGGCCAGCGAAGATCTCGCAACTCTTCGCAACTTGAAGGATTTCCAGTCCCACACATGATACGGGGACCCAAGGCTTGTTGGTGAACGAGCATCAGGATATAGCCTCCTTGGGAACTGCCATCCGATCTTGAACAGAACGATGCATCGAACATCATGACCAGCCGAAGATCTTCTACAGCTCCGATGGGGCCATACTTCAAGGCAACATCACTGTTTTCCTTTCCAAACTTCAGCAACTTATTGGCATCGATCGCACTTTTGGTCAGCCCCTTCGTCACATTCGCAGACAGCATGCTCACACTGCATTGAAGGTGTGGTGACGATTGAACTGCTGGCCACTGCAGACTTCCGACCAAGCCTCGAAGCTGGGTGATGCCCTTCTGATCCATCTCGTCCTCGGGCGATTGACCTTTCTCAACCGTCATGGGCTTCACCTTGTGCATGTACTTCTGGTGGTCCAGCGTGATCTCATCCGTGGTGACCTTGATCGATGCACCGCAGTACTCCAGATCCTCCTTCTCCTGCCACTCGCGGAAGTTGAACTCCTGCTTGAGCTGGTTGGAGATCTGCTGATAGGTGGCCGACTGGGCATTGCCTGATCCAAGCATGTCATCCACATGGAGGCAGATGACGCCACACAGACGACGTTCTCCTAGCGCACCGCTAGTTGAAGGATGTTGTCGACCGATGGCAAAGTCCTCCTCATACATCAGGAATGCACAGGGGTCAAGGCAATGTTGTCGTAGCCCAATGTCCTTGAGTCTCCGAACCGCCTCCAAGTACCATCGTCTCGGAGCATCCAACTGCCCGTACACGGGCTTTCTCAGCAGCATCCTGGTTTCAGGTGGTGCCCCCAACATTTCCAAAGCTTCAGCAGGAAGTTTCACCCACAATTTGCGGTCTTGCGGCAAGCCCTGCAAGAACGCAGTTGCCACATCAGCTGTCCAAGCTGTCCAGCCCAAAGCCGGCTGGTAGTTGGCGAGGATGTCTCCAGGTTGCCCTCCAGCGCATCGATGTCGGAGTAACCACGAACCACCAACCTCGCCTTTGCACGAGGACTGCCATCACTGTTCTTGGACCATTTAAGAATCATCCTTGATGTCAAAGTCCTTTCGGTGGTGGCCTCAGCGGTGGTTTGAAACTCCCAGACACCATTCTCAAAGAAGCTTTGCAACTCCTTCATCTTGGCCTCCTTGAGCAGTGCTCGTTCATGAACAGTCATCTTGCGCTCGGAGAGGTCGTTCTTATCATCCTTCTTCTGGAACTTCAGCGCCTGCTTCTTCTGGTCCTTAGCAACTCTAGCTGCTGGTGCATTGGCATACATGCCCATCTCCTTTCTCGCAGATCGTGAGCCCAAGCCATGCCTTCTTTGCGAAGTGGTTCTCAGTGCCATTGTCCTTGATGGTCTCGATGGTGCCGTCCGGACCATACTTCAGAGTGATCCGGATTGGATCGAGCACCTGGGGATCAATGGGAAGATCCGTGCATTCGCTCACTGAGAACAGCCCTCGCCTTGGCTTGACATGATGCCGAATCAGGCATCCAGCTTTGACCTCCCAGAAGTCGTGCATCTTCTCGGACATCTGGAAGTAGCCCTCCTCGTCCATGATCCATCCTGGTGGTAGTTCAGCACAATCCACACCGTTGATGTAGAAAGCCGCGCCTGAGATGTCTTCAGCATCAGTGGATGGTGGCAAAGTCTCTCGGTCATAGGGGGATGTACTCGCGGAACTTGATCTCGGATTTCGCCTGGAAGGACCAAAGGAGAGAGTCTCTTGCCGATCAATGCGTCGTCGCGTTGTCAAGAAGTCTTCACCTTCAGCAGCTGGTTGGTATAGTGCCGCCGTTGCAGGATCCAATGTTGGAGGTGCTGCGGAAGTTGAAGTTCTCGATCTCGGTGATGTTCTTGATCTCGGAGATGCCGGGCCTGGTTCTGATCCGGGTTCTGGGTCATCCATCTCCTCGTTCTTAGCCATGGGCGTTTCATCTCCTTCAGGGACTGGTGGTAGTTGTCGATCATCGGCTTCAAAGCCAGGTGGTGGTCCAGGTGGAGTCCTTGGTGGCGACACTGGTGGACGTTGAGCTTGGTCTCTGTCTCCTTCGCCATCAGATGGAACTTCACTCGCTTGTGGTGACCTCGCATCTGGTGTTGTTGGTGCATAACTGAATGCTGGGGAGGCCGGCATGCTCACCTCGAACTCCTCGAGGATGTCCTGTGGTGTTGGTGGCGTAGCCTCCATGCCATCGTCGGACAAGGTGAACCGGGGCCTTCTCCTTGGTGTTTCAACATCCTCAAAGTCCTCTGCAGCTAAGTCTTCCAACTCCTCATCTTCATCTACATCCTCCAAGCGCCGCTTGTTGGCCACGTTGAGGTCGATGTAGCGGGTCACTCCTCTGGACTTCAGCCTCTGCACATTCTTCTGTGCTTCTCGCAGATTGCCGATGGCGGTGTCGGTGGACCGGAAGTCAGCTCGAACATGGTGTGGTGCACATCTGATCAGCTGTGTCTTGAATGCCACCCAGTATGTCTGCGGTGTGCCAACTTCAGAATCTTCTCGAGCCACCACACGAGCAGGTCCCAACCACCTGATTTTCACAAGGTCGCCTTGTTTGGCATCGCGCCAAAAGAAACACGAAGCAAAAACCTCCAAAGGCACATTGGTTCCTTCTTGCTTCCGAAGCAATGCTCGACGAAGCTTGCGGTCAGATCGCAGTGGTCAGGGCATTTCTCGCATGAGCACGCTTCTGCAGGATGTCTTCGAAGCGATCTGATGGACTCAGGTGTGCTGGATTCAGATCATCACCTGCAAGTTCTCCCGGAAGCGAAGGTTGGAATCCGAGCACCCATTGGGATGCACCATTGACCTGCGGGACCACATAGGAGAGCGCCTGTCTGATGCCGTCCACGGTGTCCAGCTGGAGGTCGGAGAGGTAGATCTCAATGGCCTTGCGCAAGACAGCGTGCCGTCGTTCAACAAGTGTGCCTCTCCCGGTGCCACCACATGCTTTATGTTCAGGTTGGTGGTCCACTCGTCCATCTTTCCGGATGCCCATCCACGACCTTCATCGGTGTGAAGTTCTCGCGGAACTCCGAAGTGTCGGATCCACGCCCGCTCCAAGGCATGGATGAAGTCGTCGCTCTTCTCGCCATAGATCACTGCAGCCGCCTGGTACTTCGTGGCTAGATCCACCATGCTAAGCACCGGAATGCGCTTGTCCTGAAGCTTCAGCCAGAAGACGTCCGCCTGCGCGATCTCATTGAACTTGGTGGTTGGGTGCAAGGTCGATGGCGATGGGGTGTTGGGTTTCTTGTACCGCAAGCAGGCAAAGCACTTGTACTCCCTCGCCACCTTCAGCGCCGTCTCACTGACACCTCTGCTCATCAGCAACTCGCAGAGAGCCTCAGGGCTCGGGTGCCCAAGGTTGCGATGAAGTCGTTGAACAACTCTCACTGCCTCTTGCTTGTTCTCCGTGAGAAGCTTGATCAGGCCTCCTGTGTGCGCCTTGTCATCGCCAACTGCTGCAATCACGTCATGCTGCTGGGGCGTTTCCTCAGTGGCCAAAGCTGCAGCGAGAACTGTGGCGAATGCAGGCTGGTAGTCCGCCAAGTACTCAGTGCGTCGACCAAAGCCAGGTGCCGAACTTTCCAACTGGCAATGCTCATGGTTGCCAGGGCATCGAAGATTCAAAGCCGCGGCAACTGCTGACTTGGAGGTCCTGACTGCCGTCGTCTTTTTCACCGGCAACCATTCGCCAGTGTTGGCCAAGCACACACATCCATACTGACACTGGTCGAAGGTGGAGTGGTGACCAGGAAGATCATGAAATGCTTTGGTTTAGACTTCGCGCCAGCTGGTTGCTCCAGAGTTGCATGGCCTCCTTGGGAGATCTGCTGCATGTAGACCTGTCGGCAGAACTGAAGATGTACTCGATGGTGCCAATCTCGAAGTTCACGAAGTTGTCGTTGACGTCGATCATCTTGTGCCGAGAGGTTCTGCATGTTGTTCCAAGGGCCGCATTCTGGGGCTAGCAGCACTTCATCTGGATGTTCCTCCGCAAGTCGTTGAAAACATCTGCTGGTGCTCCAGCTTGTCAAAGTTCCAGCCAGTCTGGAAGCCGAACTCTTCAGTCTGGAGTCTTATAGCTTCTGCGATCTTGGAAACTTTGGCCCTTCCACAGTACACTTCCCAGATCACCTTGTGCTTTGGACCGTGGAGCTCGCGGGTGACATAGGCGTTGTACCCCTTGTCGAGGTTTTGGATCTCTAGCTCCATGGTGTTGAAGTGGTTCTTCTTGATTTTCTTCTCCCATGTCTGCAACTCCTCCTTGGTCTCCACAACCGGAGAGTCCTCCTCGAAGAAGATGTGCTCCTCAGCGTCGAAGCGTTCCAAGGAATGAACTTCTTGGCCAACTTCTTCTTCGGGATCAACTCGAAGGTCGAACATGGGATCTCGTTGGAGTAGCGCAGGGTCGAAGTCCTCGGCCATGGGCAGCAGGTATTCACCATGTAGGCCGAGTGTTGCTTCCATTTATGGGGTGTTGTCCATCTTGATCCTCTTCTCCTTGAAGTCAGCCGAACTGACCAGTTCGAGAACCTTTCAGCATCACCGCCGAAGTGGAACTTCCTCTGGACCTTGTGGAACTCCAGGTTCTGGATGGGGAGCCCAAGTGCTCCACATAGCGCTTCAGCGGTCCATAGCGTGCAGCAATCTGGCCTCTCAGTGCCATCGCGGTCGAGGAAGAGGACCATGGCCTTCTCATCCTCCTCACATCTGGCGACCGACTCAGTTGGTGCCGATCTCTTCTGACCTTGTCGCGGGGCACTGCATGTTGCTGCCATGTGACCTGGTTGTCCACATCGAAGGCAGATGATGGCTGCTTTGGCTCTTCCTTCTGGGTCCACACCTTTTGCCGCAGGCTTGGCATACTTGAAGGTTGCAGTGGACTTGGACTTGCCCTTCTTGCCACCAATGCCCTTGCCTTTCCTCCCCTTTGGACTCGCTGGTGCTTGAGCCATTCCAGGGGACACATTTCCAGCAGCAGGGTCTGTCAGGGCAACCGCCGGCAAGTAGCCACAGCTCAACTTCAAGTCCGTCATCCTGGCATCTTGGTATGCCGCATACACAGCATCATAGGCCTCTACATCATAGTCTTCATGGGAATCACGGACTGGGCTGAGTGCGGTGACTGTGGAGAACCATCCTCTCCATCATACTGGTAGTACCCAGCATCCCAGTCGAAGTCCGCATCGTCCAGCTCCGGCTCCATGAGGTCCCACGCTTCTTCCTGGTAGTAGACGGACTCGTCGTCATAGTCCTCGTGGAAGCCAAAGTCGTCATCAACCTCATCATGGGCTGCAAAAGCTCGGTTGGAACCTTTGCCACGATGGAAGTAGTTCCGTCGCCCATCTGCTGCAGCATGCTTGTCCTGCCCAAGAATCAGGAACATTGCCTCCTGAACCTTCTCCTTCTCAAGTCTCGGGGCCCTCAACGTCACAAGTTGTCGTTGCTCCCTCGAAAGACTTGACTTGGTCAGCAAATGCCATCCTTGCACTTCAGTTGGAAGAATGACCTTGTGCTTCTCGATCTTCTTCAGGGCTTCATCGTGCTCAGACACATAGCCTAGCAGCGTCTGTCCAGCCTTTCTCTGCAGGTTGTAGTAGGAGTCGAAGTCAGCTGGTAGTTGAACTCGCTCATCATACTGGAAACTGCGATCCATGATCTTCAAGATCTCCTCGAACGTGCCGTCCTTCTCCACATTCTCCAATGGAAAATCTTCCAACAGCCTCCAAGCCGTGCCCTGCATGGAACCAATGATGTTCAGGATGCTCTCTGCCGATCGCTTGCTGATGGCCATCTTGTGGTGGTAGATCGTGATACGCTTTCGCCACTCCTTGTACTCCGAAGGCTGACCTGAAAACAGGGGGATGAAGCTATCCTTGGTGGACGTGTTGTCCAAGGCCGTTGGTCCATTTGCCGTAGAGGAAGCCATGGAGGATCACAATGTCGAATTCGTGGATCTCCTTGATGTCAGTGCGAAAGCCGTAGTGCTCGTCGTGCCGAAGGTGTAGTAGCGCACTGGCAGGAGGATCCAGTAGAGCTCGAGCCTTCACCCAAATGGGATCCGGCTCCGCTACCAATGCGAAGCCAGCAAGTGGTAATGCAGCTCCAAGTCCCAGGCACACAAAGTCCTAAGACCACAAATGAGCACAGCGCCTTTTACAGCGCCACAGCGCAGCCGTTAAGGCCTTTCGACCCACCCTTGATCCAAAGATCGACACAGACATGTCATGTGATGTCTATGCCAACCCAAGTGCACAGCGTGCAATTCACAATTGGCATTTTAGTTCTCGTTTTTGGCTACATTGTTTGGGGGAGGGGTCCGACTGCATTCAGCGCGTGTTGCTTCTTTCTGTCTCAGAACATCATCTTCCTCGCCACAATCCACTGCAGCGCATTGTTCTTGGAGCGAGTGCAGAGAGAGGCTACAGCACAGGCGCATTCGCCTTTTTGGACTGTAGCTTTGTAGTTGTCAATGCTACATCTGAAGCCTTTTGCACATGAGTTACATGATTTACTCTCCTGGCTCTGCAAAAAAAAACATAACTGAATCAATCCGCTAGTGATTTAGCTTTCTGCGGGCGCTTGGAGCGAAGGCGCAGCGTCCCGGAGGCCAGCTGAGAGGACTTGGGATTTCAGCTGTTCGATTCCTTGCATTAAAACGGGAATTTGGATACTTTGGTAAGTGAGCTGAGGTCTGCCTCTGACAGCAACATGACTGTCGTGCAGGTGGGAACCTTGGTTCACAGCATTTTTGTGACCGGTAGCTCCTTGCCGAGGATGGGGAGTCCGCAATTTGTGCAGAAGGCAAGGAGTACTTCTACGTTTACTTTCATGTTACAATGCGTGACTTCCAGTTTGGTATGTCTTTGTTTCCAGCTGCGGAATGGGTTCTTGCTGTGTGCATTCACGTGAGAGCTACGTGGGTTGGACGCATCTTTTCGCTCTGATGTAGAGGCTGTAACAATACTTGCCGCGATTTGGCAACAGTCACCTGGAAGCACGGTGTGAATGAACTGGTATGAACTGGTGAGGGTTCAAGACTTCGAGACAGCTTTGAAACACACTGATATTTCCTTTCGAGTGTTGAACCTTAACAAGAAACAAACATATTTTTTTGAAAAAGCTTGGCCTGCAGGTGATGCGACACCTGCCCAGTTGTGAGGGGATCCTCGGCAGCGACTGGACCAAGTGGAGCGGAGCATGGCCATGCTCCTGGGGAAGAGTTCGCAGCAGGCCCAGATCTTTTGATCTGTGTTTCATTGATTGCAAGTGTGTTGGCGTCTGTTTGTGGCACCTCATTGTTAGAAATCGATGAGTTGAGCAGCCAGGTGTCCAGTCCAGATGCCCGCTACCACCATCGAAATCCAGGTTAGGTTGACAGGTCTCAAAAAATCTCTTGAAGTTTCAGGATGTGTCCAAATGGGCTGCTGCTGTGTGTTGGTCCAGTTCAATCCTTTGACATGGTGCAAACAGTTTTGCCATCGCTTGTGGAACTGAAACCGAACGCTGAAAACAGGTGCTTCCGATCAATATCAGCCAGGAAGAGCATCTCCTGCAGGCAGAGTTTCACTTGAAAGATGTTGGGATGTTGACATGAGAGGTTCCTTTCTAAAAAGAGCCCACCGTGTTTCTAGAGCAGTTCGTTCATCCAAGAAAGTTCCAATTTTTCAAAAATCATCCTTGTTTGGATATTGTGGAAGGCAGAAGAGCACGGACGAGCTAGAGACGAGTCGCCAAAGAATACTTCCAGGTAGTTGCCGTTTCTTGTGACACCCTCAATGCTGTGTTCTGAAAGGATTCAGCAGTGTAGGTTCTGGATGCTGTGCGCAGCATCATCCGTCATGGATTTGGCGTTGAGTGCTCAGATGCCATTTTGAGCTGTTGGTTTTTCTTTCTTCGCGCAGCAACATGTCAGCGCATGCCGTCATCACAGGCTCCTGCCGCTGACCGCAAAGCTTCTGTGAATAAGACAAGGGTGGTGAGCGCAAAGCTGTGAGCCGAATTCAATGCAAAAGAAGATCTTACACCAACAATTCAGGATTGAATCTTCTAGTGCCAGTCACGTCATTTGTTGCTTTAAGCTCTGTGCACGTGCCTGAGAAAAAGGTATATGCGGAGGCTTTGACCAATCCAGCCACGCGATACACCAAGGTCTTTTGTGGTACACATGCTCGAAGAAACTGGGGGCATCACGGAATTTGAAGCAAACTTTCGCAGTTCATTTCAAAAAAACAGATGGCTGTTGTTAGATTCAACCAGCAGGGCCTTTCCTTCGCAACTTTCTTCACTTGTGTTTTGGCCTTTGGGCGTGACAGCAAGACAGTTGCAAGCTGCTAAGCAGTCTTGTCACGGTCTGACGGGTGCAATGCAAGGAACTTGCACAAAGCAACTTTCAAATGCACATGGCCTTGGCTGTCTATTTTCGTTCTCACGCTTTGCACCTCAGCTCTATGCCAATGAAAAGCAGAGTGGTGAGTAGGCTTGTTGTCCATCCTGACTTGCTTGGTTTCTTTGGCCTGTTTTGTTTATCGCAAAAAATACTTGACCATGAGTTTTGTGTAGGACTCTTTACAAAAGGAGTGGGCGTCGTACTCTGGGCTGATGCAAGTGTGTCATCTGCATTTTGCAGGGTCCCCGCACAAATCAACTAGGAGTTTATGCAGAAGTTGTCCGGCAAGGCAGCTGTCAAGATTGGCAGATGAATCCAGACAAGACTAGACAAGACCACATCGACACATCATTTAGTTTGAAGCCTGTTGGACATGCCATTCATTGAAACCTTTTTGTCTGTTTTAGCACGGGCGAACTAGTCTGGCCATGATCTCTTGCGTGCTTTTGGTCTTGCACCTCAAAGCACGGAACCTAAAATGTTTTGATTTGGCTTGTGTGGGCGTATTGACAGCATTTGTGAAACCAATGCAGTGTTGCAAAGGCCCGAGCAGCCGCTGCCAAGCAAGCAAGGCGCGCACTCAAAGAAGGTACACCAAAACTAATCTGACCCACAAGTGTTGTGCAAAGAACCCTCCTGAGCGAGCGAGAGTGGGGGATGGGCACGGAAAAGTGAAACAGGCTAACTTGCTGTCACTGCCAACGAGCAAGACATAAGATGCAATGACACCGAGAATAAGTTCTGTCGCCTAATTGTTTGCCAAAGCCACACCTCCCTATCTGACTGATGTCTTGCAGTTCAGTTGTGTGCGGAGTCTTTGTTGTTCTTACCCCCACAAAGTGCAATAATTGCGCCTTGCGTGCATTCCTCCAAGTAGATGGTAGGAAAAACCAACAAGAGTTTGAGGAGCAGGATCAGGCGGGCCAGTGCCGCACGCTTCACACATCCAAGAATGAAACAAGCAGCACGCTATCCAAAAAATCCGCAAGTCATGCGAGAAAGATGGTTTCTGCCTACACCTGCAATGCTGTCTTTGATTAGCATGCACATCCCAAGCTATGTCTTGTCGCAGAGGAAGCACATGTCCTTGAAGCGCCTCCTCTACCTGTGTCACCTCAGATATTCAGACAGGCGCTGGGCCTTCAGTAATACGCTTTTGAACCCAATGAGTCCAACCATTTCACATGGATTGGCACATATCGAGTGCGCCATGAAGTGGAGGAGGCTTCAGCAGAAGCAGGCTGCAAGGTTACAAAGAAGACAAAAGGGACAGCCAAAGCAATGGTGCGGGGCATAGCCTTTCACGCGTTTTAGCCGCAGCTGGTAAAAGATGGCCTGGCCTGTGCTGCATTTGCATTACGTACTCAGCTTGAGCTCTTTCGGGGAGGAATTGTGCTTGTGCCGATTCCTGTAAGAGCTGTTGTCTACATGTAGGTTTCAAAAGAAAACGTACCCTCCAAACTGATTGCAACATGCTCACATGGTTTTCAGTCTTGCAAGTGTCTGCTTGCAAATGAAGGATGCGCTTGTTAAACTTCTCCACCGCAGGTAAGAATTGTGGATGAGAAGAAGCGCTTCAAAATCAAGTGGCGTGGTTATCAGGTCTCAGAGACTTGTTTGGGATTGAGTGTTGACAAGCCTTTGGACATCACCATAGCTGCCCTTGGAGATGACAGGCGCAAATTGTCAAGAGCGTCCCGCGTGCGAAGGAAATAGCGACGAAGTGTACGGAACCCGAGATGGCAAGATGACTTCAGAAATGCGGTGTTGGATTCGATGCAGACTCAGGCTTGCAACTTGCGCGGCAAGGACGGCGGAAGAAGGCTGTGGAAAAATTGAAGGAGATTGCTTGTGCATTTTCTTCCCATGTTGATTCATGCTGGAAACAACACATCAATGCGAGCCATTCTCGGGCCAGGAAAGGCTGAAGGTGAGCTAGTGAACTCTGAAGGCGGTTGTAGAAGTCAACCGTTGCAAATGCAATGTGCCCAAAGGGCACTCTTGGCTGAGCGAAGCTGTGCTTTTGCAGTGGCTTTACAGACCTGAAAGGCTGACAAATAATGCGCAGGCTGAGATAGTACCGCGCTTAACTCGTCAAGCCATGTTTTTGACCTACATTTGTATCAGTTTTACAGTTGATTGAGTCAAGCTTATTTCTTTTGTAGGCCTTCTCATGCCCTGCATTCAAGACACCTTTGCTCAAGCGGATCTCTGGAGTCAACCAGGTACCGGCAAACATGTCTCGCACATCGCATGCTGCACATGGAATGTAACACAATTTATAATGTGTAGTGTACACAGTTTCTCCTGATGGCACATACATGTGCAAAAGGTGTACGTAGACTGCAACTTAAAACCATATATGATGCATTAACAAATTTTAACAAAAAGAACTATTGAAACATATTAAAACTATGATAAATACAGGTAAGGCTAAGATTTACCATGGGCATTTTCTGGATTTTTGCATGTGATGGTTGTTTGCTTTTGCTTCTTCCGCAGCATGTGGAGCTCTGCGAACGCCCCTTCGGCAGGCCTGTGGGGACTGTGGGGACGGCAGTTGGTGGAGTGTAGCCAGGGTAGGCTTGACTGTTTGGACTTCGAAAAGGCAGTCGGTGTAAGGCCTTTGTGTACGCGCTTTCGAGGCCTTGTGCGGAGCTCTCGCAGTTCCTGGAGGCACCGGCAGAGAGTGCTTCGCAAGCAGTAATAACAAGCTCAGCTCTTTGCCTGTTTTCTTTTCGCAGAAATCTGAGTGTTCAAGTCATGTTGGGCTTGTAGCAGCGATGAAACAGCGCATCAGAGCCATGTTCAGCCGCGTGCCCGGTAGCGTACCAGCTCTAGGCGCAGGTGCTGCTATCGGTGGCTTTGTGCTAGACGCTTGGAAGCGCCGGCAAGAAGAACAAGATCGCGCTCGTATGGTTAATCGCGTGATCCACAGTTCCTTCCACGCTTTCCAGCCCAAAGTGGAAATCCCGCGCGAGCAGGTCCAGGCCCGGTGTCATGCACAAGTCGTCAGCATCCGTGTCGCTTTGTGTTTCACCCTGTTGTGCTAGGTCACCATGAAGCGCCTGCTGGATCTGGATGACCGCTCCCCCGTGCTGATCTGGGGCAACCACCTGGCCGGTAAGAGCTTTGCCCTCTTCAAGGCTTTGGAACAGGCAGGCTTTCGTGAGGGCATCGTCCACGTGCAGCTCGCCGACGACAAGCAGGTCGCACGAGAAAAGCTTTGCCAGGAGCTGGGTGCCCTCGGCGACGTTGAGGCAAAGGAGGCCTTGAAGCAGGCCGCAAAAAAGCTGAGCCGCCTGCCCATCGTCATCCTGGAGATCCCCCGGGAGGTCAGCGACATGGCAGTTGTACGCAGTTGCTCTGGCTTCGCCAAGACATGGGGCTACGACGCCGAATTGGCGAAAGTCATCGTGTTGGCGAGCAGCGCCTCCATGGCCCTGAGCTTTGATGCGGACGCCCGGGAAGTTCGGTTCCAGGTCCAACCGCTGAGCGAGGAAGAGTGCCAGCAGGAGGAGGCGGGTTTGCTGAGCGCGTTCCTTTGAGTTTTTGTTTGGCTCTCCCTGACCAGGTCCAGACGTTCCTCAAGCACCACGGTGGAGCCGCCGCCGTCGAGCACAAGTCGGACCTCCTCCACCTCTCCGGCGGCAACGTGGGCAAGTTGGAGGCCTGTGCATTGTCTTGTCTTTCCAGCCTTGTCTTTGCGAAGGCTCGGTGTGTTGCGAAGCCTTTCCAAACCCGCAGGACCTGGCGCAGGCCTTGCGGACCAAGACCTTCGAGGAGGTCCGGCTCGCAACCATCGGCGCGCAGGACGGGGTTGACTTGAGCCTTTTAGTTTTGCGCGTTTTTGTTTTGCGCCGTCAGGAGAAGGAGATCCTGCGCTTCTTCGGCATCGATGCGCAGGGCGGCTTCGGCCCAAAAGAGGTCCCGGCTGCCAAGGAGGTGGCCCGCCGCGTGGCGGACGCCCCGTTTGACCAGTGCGTCAGGTCAGAGGACTTCGAAGACCGTTTCACCAGCAAGCATCTGGCGCAGGCGGTGAAGGCACAAGGTGCCCACTGCATCTATGTCAAGGCCACCACTAAGGCGGATGAGCGGTTTTGTGCAGCGTCGCCATCCGTGCACGCTCTGCTCAAGCGGAAGACCGATGCGCTTGAAGCCAACACGAAGCCCAAACGCCGAGGAATGTTTTGATGAAAAAAGGTTCCATGGAAGGGCTTCCACAGAATTCCGGCCAGCCAACTGCGCAGGGCCCCCTACTGCTTCCGGAATCCGATTTTGCGAACAGAACATGAAGTTGAGCAGGCAACAGCACAGCGAGCATTAGAGTTTGAGCGAGAAAGTGCAGATCTCGGCACTGGTCTCGGTTTTGATCATCAGATGTTCGTCTCAGTTTTGATGACATAACGCTGAGACAGCCTAGGTTGCCCAACAAGCATCAGAGTTTGAGTGAAAAGAGGGGCAAGCTGCCAGTCGATGTTGACTTACTCTGCGCAGGCGGCGGCAGTGCAGATCTCAGGTTCCTGTTCAAAGTGCAGACCTCTGAGTGCAAGTGCCCGGTGAGAGTTGTGGCTAAGGCAGGGCGTTACGTGTGTTGTTTGCCGCGTGTTGGGAGCTTGCGAAAACCCAAAGTACTCTAAGTACTTCCAACCAACTACTAAGTCCAACCTAAGTAAAACTCAGCAAAGTCTCCTTTTCTCCAGGCACATGAGCCTTGAGCCAAAGTATTTGGCAAAGTAATGATGACAAAAGTAAACATGCAAGAGGGGACAAAAGTGCATGATATTTCGCACCCCTTGACTTAAAGCCCTGTGACTTTAAAGTCGCACTAATTAACCTTGCATGTTTCAAAGTTGAATAACCATGCAAAGTACTGAAAAAGTCAAGCTACTAGTTCAAAATTCCAGGATCAGAAAAGTTCAGTCAGCATCTTTTCAATTATCCTACCAAAGTTGACTTCGAAACCAAAAGTTGGGATGTCTCTAGTACAAAGTGGTTGGCGCCTAAAGCACTTCAAAACTCCTTTGCATAGTTTGCCTTAAATAAAAGTGAGAGTGCCAAAGTGAGTCTGTCCCATGAACGTAGTTCAAGGATCACTTGAACAAAAAGTAGAAACAAAAGCTTGAAGCAAAAAGAAAACGACAGCAAAGTCGACGCCCAAAGTTTCAGGTGACACTCAAGTGAATTCTGAATTCAAATCTACAGCATCGATCTGAAAAGTGGAACCAAAAAATTCTCAAGGGATTGCATGTTCATTATCAGAAAGTTGATCCCTCAAGTTCTTGTGTACAATCAAATGTCCCATTCTGACAAAGTTGCCATTGGAACGTGCCACAAGCGAGTTGAACTGATGAGCCATAAAGTTGAAGCTCATACTGAAAGAGTAGAGTGCGCAAGACATCACACTTTCTCTTGGAAACTCAAAGTAATCCAAAGTTACATTGACCTTCAAAAAGTGATCAATGTAGTAACGGTTCCAAAAGTTGACACCTGATTGGACCAAAGTTCTGACAAAGAAGACAGGAAGTCTAAGTCCAATCAAAGTCATCCGATGATGACCCAATCCAATGTTCTGGACATTGTAAATGCTCATACCAAAAGTAGTGAGCAACAAGGCACTTCGAGGACAAAGTCCAAACTGCAAATTGTCAGGTGCCTATGACAAGTCCTTTGCAAAGATTCTGGAAGTTGCCAAAACTTTAAAAGACAACGGTTCAGGCAATGCAACCCAGAAAGTTGTGCGCAAGTATCATTTGGTGGTTTCACCAACTGGCATGTTCCATAACGAAGTATTTCAGGAGCATGGTAAGAATGCTCCAATGATATGCCAGGGAAAAGTTGATCCAGCATGTCAAAGTGCCTGGCACCAGGACCAGGTCTTACGTTGCAAATTTGACGTCCAGTCAACATCAAATTCACAAAAGTTCTTGTATCTAGCCACTTATTGTAAAGTGGATTGTCAACACTTTCAATAGTTGCTGACATGGCTTCAAAGTGATGGCAAGAGTTTTGGGTGCTCTTCCAAAACGTGCAACAAGTAGAAGAGTAGATCTCAAAGTTTGACCTGCAAAAGTGCAAAGTTGGTCTAAACTCAGTTGGTCTGTCGTCAAAGTTTCACCCCAAAGTGGATCACCTGTGCCAGTTTCAAAGTATCACCGGAAAGTTGAACCCGATGCACTCCTGCAAAGCGGTACTAAGTTTCTTGCGCAACAAGTACCGCTCAAAAGGTGTAGAAGGCAAAGTCTTCCTCTTGGAAAGTCTCTGCCCCACGTCAAAGTTCTTGCAAGCAAAAACGTTGTAAAAGTCCATCAGGTTCCACATTAGAGTGGGTCCGGTGTGAAAGAAAAATAAGTCATTGGAATACACCACGTTGCCACATAAAAGTGGTTCCGGTACGTAGTCCAAAAGTGCAGCGTCAAAAGTCCAGTGTATTCATACAGCAAGATCAAAATGCCAGTGCAAAAGTAGCAAAGCGTGAAAGTTTGAGCAAAAATCGGTTCGAAGTTATCAGAACATAATATAGCATATAGAAATATCAGATGCCGTAACGTGGCAAATGAGATCAGAGCAAGATTAGGTAAGAAAGATATTTAAGCGCTTACGCGCGACAGCCGGCCAGGGGCCCAACTATGTTGGCCCATCGTGTGGCTATATGTTGGCCTATGTTGGCGTATGTTGGCCTATCTTGCGGGCAACGTGGGCCCATCTTGTGGCTATGTTGGCCTATGTTTGCCTCATGTTGGCCCATGTTGAGCCAAAAGATCCGAAAAATGGGAACAGCACAAAAACACCGTAAAACGCAGGATATTTTGATGGTCGGCGGCCTATCTTGGGGCTATGTTGGCCCATCTTGGGGCTATGTTGGCCCATCTTGAGGGCTATGTTGGCCCATCTTGAGGCCTATGTTGGCCCATCTTGGGGCTATGTTGGCCCATCTTGGGGCTATGTTGGCCCATCTTGGGGCTATGTTGGCCCATCTTGAGGCCTATGTTGGCCCATCTTGAGGCCTATGTTGGCCCATGTTGACCCATCGTAAACAACAAGATCCGAAAAATGGGAAAAAGTGGGAAGAGCACAAAACACCGTAAAACGCGGGGGTTTTTGGCCGGACCGGGTGGTCGGCGGCAGGGGCGGCGGCCCCTCTCTCCTACGGAGAGGAGAGAACTGCCGTACGGCAATGCCACGGCCAGGGGGCCCCTGGCCGGATTTAAGCGCTTACGCGCGACAGCCGGCCAGGGGCCCAACTATGTTGACCTGCTTCTTCTTGTTGTTGTTGTTGTTGTTGTTGCGGTGGTTGTGGTTGTGGTTGTGGTCGTTGTTGTGGTTGTTGGTTGTTGGTGGCTGGTTGGTTGTTGGTGGTTGGTGGTTGGTTGTTGGTTGTTGGTTGTTGGGCCCATTTTGTGCCATCTTGGTCCGATGTTAGCCCATCTTTGGGCCCATGTTGCGCCCATCGTGGGGCTATGTTTGCTCATCTTGGGCCTATGTTAGCCCATCTTAGGCCCATGTTGCGCCCAGCTTGGGGCAATGTTCGCCTATGTTGGGGCCATCGTGGGCCGATGTTGAGGCATCTTGGGGCTATGTTGGGGCATCTTGGGGCTATGTTGGACGATCGTGCGCGATGTTAGTGCAAAAACATGTTGAATGTCACAGGGCCAAAAAAACACTGTAAATTACAGGGGTTTCTGTCGACACGCGCACCCCACCGCGAGGTCAGGGGCAGGGGCCCAACTATGTTGGCCCATCTGTTGGCCTATGTTGGCCTATCTTGCGGGCAATGTGGGCTCAGCTTGGAGCTATGTTGACCCAGCTTGGGGCTATGTTGGCCTATCTTGAAGGCTATGTGGGCCGATCTTGAGGCCTTTGTCGGCCGATCTTGAGGCCTATGTTGGCCCATGTTGACCCGTGCGGAGCCAAAAGATCCGAAAAATGGGAACAGCAAAAAAACACTGTAAAACGCAGGATATTTTGAGGGTCGGCGGCCTATCTTGGGGCTATGTTGGCCCATCTTGGGGCTATGTTGGCCCATCTTGGAGCTATGATGGCCCATCTTGGGCGCTATGTTGGCCCATCTTGGGGCTATGTTGGCCCATCTTGGGGCTATGTTGGCCCATCTTGCGGCCTATGTTGGCCCATGTTGACCCATCTTGAGCCACAAGATCCGAAAAATGGGAAAAAATTGGAAGAGCACAAAACACCGTAAAACGCGGGGGTTTTTGGCGGGCAAAGGTGTCGGCGGCTGGGGCGGCGGCCCCTCTCTCCTACGGAGAGGAGAGAAACGCCTTCGGCTATGCCACGGCCAGGGGGCCCCTGGCCGGATTAAGGGCTGCCGCCCCTGCCGCCCCTGCCGCCGACCCCGGAAAAAAAAACCAGGAGGTTGTGACGCAACATTTTTTGGGTTCTTCCGTTTTTTTTTGTGTAGATTAGATTCAGCAGCTGGTGATGAGATATTATTACTGGGAAACTTCATACTCCAGTTGGAAATGATCTGTTGTTGTTATCTGCTCTCCACTTCATTGAAACACAATGCTTTGATTGGGTTACTGGAACCTTTAAGACTGCAATATGGGCAGGTGCAGATGAAAAGGCTTCAGTCTCTGCTCCGTCCAGCCCTCATTTCTCAACATGGGTACCCCGGAGATTGAAACTCAAATAGTAATTGTGATTGCTGAGGTCGTTTGGAAAGATTTCCACATACGTTGGTCCCGACCCTTTGCCGCATTTACAGCGCAGGGGGAAAATAGGAAATACACATTAGAATGATGTCCTTCAAACTTTGATCATGATATCTACAAACAATCCTATGATCATGCATACTTATATTGCATCTACTTTGGTCGTGTCCAAATATGAAAAGGAACATATGTTTGGCCACAAAAGTGAGCATGTGGTAGCGCAAGATATTTGGAACTAGAATCTGTTCGTCCCCCAGCGCAGCCCAGGAAATCAATTCTTCGGCTGATCGAATCTCTGAATGGGGCCAGCAGCAGCTGGGGACCGGGCAGGGCCCTGGAGAATTGGGTACATGGTCAACCCTGGCGTGCCTTTATTGCATCAACACTTTATTTGGTATCAACAATTATTTCTTATGAACTTTTTTGATGTATAATATCAAAGCTGATAGAACGCCATCTGAGGAAAAGCTCTTCCACTACCATTCCAGCATCTTGTCTTTTGGGGAATTATATTATCAATTGACATGGCTGGGATATAGCATACCCTCAAAATGGTTTGGCAACAAGTCAACAACAAACAAACAGCCCAGGATTGAAGTTCCGATATTTTATGAGGATGCCCGTGGACAGCAACGCACATCTGGGATGCATTACGTGTTGTTGCCACATGAAATCTTGGGAACCTTTTATCAGTTTGAAGCCGCTGACCTCATGATGAAATTAACTGGTGGCCCAGGTGTTTCTTGAATGCAATCTTTTCGAGGTGCACTTGGAAACTCAAGATATATATATATATACTCATACTCCCTTCATGATTACATTGAGGCTTTGGCGGAGTTCTGGTCGCATGAGCAAACTACAGAATGGTTTCGCAATCACCCTATTCTCAGAGTCACATGGTTGCACCATCTTTGATGTCTGAAACATACAAAAACGGTTGAACGACTGAATTGCGAATTACCACCAAACTAACATACACATTTTGGATGTTTGTCCACAGCCTCCCTCAATTCAAAACAAGTATTTTATCCTGCTCAGGTGACTGATCCCAACTTTGTCATACCCTTTCGTCTCTTCGGGGATGGGGCTGAAAGTAGCAGTAGCTTGGCCTCAAACATATGAGATCTCGAATTGGGTTTTTGTTCGATAGCCCAAAAAAATTATCCAACAACGTCGCCCCAGGAAAACAAAAGTTCGAAATCTTGACTCTGGTTCTGCCTGTGGTGAGCCACGCAAATCGAAGTTCGGCAACCATGGACACCAGAATTTTGCACCATGGCTCAACTAATGATGAGAGATGTTGGATGGGTGGTTACCTGCAGGCAAAGCCTATTTAGTTGAACTGAAGGGAAACAAAGAAAGTACAGTAATATCATGTGCCATTCCTGTGGTATTTCCCATGATCCAAGGATCTCCTGTATGAGCGGGACGTATTGCAACCATTATTCCAGGACACGAATCTTGGAGACAATTGCCTGGAGTTTTGAAGCACTTAGTATCTCAGCAGGTCCACGGTTTAAATTTTGACCCATGGAATTTTCAAATAAACACATTTTTTTTCCATACCCCCATGATTGTTTTTTTTGGTCTGTAAATATGGAGGTTTGTTTCCTAAAGCCGGGGCACCTTAAGAGCCATAGGTGCCAAAACTTAAAATAAGTATATTTGGCTGTTTTGGGGATACCACCATTTTTGGAAATCACTATATATATGTACACATAAATATTTGTTTATATACAAATACATATCATCATACCCGTATCTATCTATGTATATATATATATATATAAATCTATCTATCCAGATGGACACCAAATGGTGCCACCCCAATATATGCATAGGTACTGGCAAATACCCAAGATGTGATCCATGGGGACGCCCGTTTACGGCGCAATACCATCCTCACAGAATGCGTCTTGCTGGAAAGCGTATTGCTGGCAACTATGTGGGTGTACTGGAAGCCTTCCAGGGGGACCAAGACTTCATTAGAATTTTGTTTTCACCATCCCGCTGCATAGCTGCATTTTTGGGGAACTATAAGTATGTGGGCTTTATTCGATTTGCGCCACACCATTACATTGCGGATTTCCCAAAAAAAAGTTTTAATCACCAGACTATGCAACCTAGGTTTTTTTTCCAGGCAATTTTGCTGCTATTATTGCAGGGCATGTCAATGGGTTTATCAAGACGACAACCCCCAGCTGAATGATTACTTGTACACAAATTTTGGACCAGCTGCTGCACACCGCAATACGAACCCTGATGTCCAAATTGGAATCTTTTTTGAGTTTCTATTTTCCACGCAATTCTTCTGCAATGTTTTCCTAGGAAAAGATACGGTACCAACAAATTCTTCTTATGAAATCATGGGGGCATTTTTGGTTTTCGAAATTCCCAATGTATAAAGATACCATTGGATGTTTTGAATGTAAGGCTTCAAGGATTTGGGACAAATACAAACCGATTCCCCAACTTAATCTGTGAACGGCCTTGCAGGTTGGTGACTATCAGTGAGTGGGCTGATGTCAATCCAGAGACACCCCTCATGAGGATTCCGGGGTGGTCGCCGTGGCGATTCTTGGCGCCAAAAACCATAGGTAGATTTGTGGTGCATCTCACCTCCATTGGATGAAGTTATCAACCGGAAATCTAAGTATTTTATTTCAGGTTAGCCCCATTTACTTTGAGTGATCCCCATTTACTTTGAGTGATCCCCATTTACTTTGAGTGATCCCCATGTACTTTGAGTGATCCCCACCAACTGACATATATTGTGACATTTTATTTGGGGCTCTATCTTTTCGAAGTAGCCCTTGCCTACCAGGAATCCTTCCAGACATCATGCATATATGCTACCTTGCATGTACGGTGGATGTGATAACCAGTTGCTTGCTGGACTGGAGCGATTCGGCTTCTCTGTTCTTCAATGGGTCATCTCGTGAGAAAAGGCTGACACAACTCTGGGAAAACTACAGGTCCTGGTGTGAGTCCCAAGGGTATGATTTGGCTGACAGGGCCTCCCGAAAGTTATTCTCAACAAGTGCATTGAAGCCAGAGGCAGGGAAGTATGTAGAAGTCTCCCAGAAGACTCTCAACGCTACAGCAGCACGGTATATGGCATTTTGGGTGGCATCGGTTTCCAAAAAAATCGCTGAATGGACAGGAGCTGATCCAGATATGTTATTAGGTGAAATTTCAGTGTTTTTGCTTCGAAAATTTTGAGATTATGATTAGATCCTCAAAAATTCCTGGTTTCAAATCTTAACGGTAGTTCCAAACATTTGGGGTTAAAAGTGATAAAGCAAGGATGTAGGGATTTTCAAGGGTCTCCACACACCGTTTTTGATTTCTGAAACCAAACATACCTACCCCTTCAAATTTTTTATGGTTCATGTCGACCTGCTTTGATCCAAGGTTTCGAGCTGGTGCGGCGATGGGACTGGCGGAGATTGAAATGGTGTGCCTACGTGGTGGCAGAGTTTTTTCACCCCCAGAATGGACACATTTTGAGTTTGGGTACTTGGTGTACAGGGCTGGTTTGAACAAGATGGGGGCAATAGCCCTTGAGAAAAAACAAACCAGATGGAGACAGCGACCAAGGGTCATGGTCTTGAACACCTGGTTTATGATTTCCACGGGCTTAATCCCCGTTACTGTAGCAATTTCCTCGATGAGGATTTCGTGAGAAGATCCAAAAAATTGGCAATTCAATCCAATGCCCGGTTTGTGTCGAAACATGTTCTCTTTAGATATGCTATCGCTGCCACACTGCGGTGGACGGATTTGAAGCCCGAGTGAGAAAAAACGTGCTGTGTTTGTACGGTACGCCATGGTTCAAACACCCAATCAGCCGACAATATTGATGGAAAAAGGGATCCCCCAAACCATATACAATGTGGGGCCCCCAAAATAGCAAAGTTGGTTTATAACTCCAGTAACTATGATTTAAGGTACATATAACTATATAGTTAATGGGGTTTATAAATTAATTTATGACTAGGGGGCCCCACATTGTATATAATTATCAGCATGTTTGAAACATGATAGAGATGTCTCGAAGGATCTCGAGGGCTCAGGGGTGCACATGAAACCGTGCAACATAACCTATAGCCAAATGGTATTTACAGGTCTAACCAGAACTGTGCCTCCCAGTTTCCCTGGACAGAAAAAAGTCCAGCTCTATTGCTATGTTGGCAATGTTGGAAGCTCAGTGAGCAGGATTGAGATTGTATATGCTAGGCTCAGCACCCAGATTGGCTATTGGCTCGTGTCATGGGACTGTTTCCGGCGTGAAAATATATAATGCAAATCATAGGGAGGGCTGGGTGGGGAACATGCTGCACCGAGCTACCACTGACACCGGCTGTTCAGCTGGCACCGGCTGTTCACATGACACCGGCGACATAGAAAGGCTGGTTAACCCTTAGTGGTAGGATCACCCAGTAGCGTTTTCAGTTGCGGCCTGAAACTGTCTTCGGATTACTCTCAGATCCAAGCGTGCAAATTTCTTGCCTTCAGGAAGTGTAAGCGTTGTGAACACGCCAGACCTATCAAGGACATAGGGCAATTCGCTTCAGCACTCAAGAAGCTGCGCCTGGCCAGCGAGTAAGAAAAAAAGTGGCCGCTCAAGCCAGCGCTTTAATAGAATTATTTTCAATCACCTCTGTCGTTGCAGCATTCCGTCATCACCATCGCTTTGCTCAGCCTTTTCTGCCCGACAGCTCGCGTAGACGCTCAACATGGGCACTTTTCTCGAGTCGGAAGAAGCACTGAAGGCCAGAGCCTTGGAAGTGGACCTCAGTACCGCTGAGATCCAAGCCATAACTGCAGGCAACGTAACCTCCTTGGTTAAGCTAGCATTCGCAGTTTGCCCTCCTGGTCAAACCCCAACCGACGATCAAGTAAAGTCCTTGTTGGGAGCGACTGCGTCGCCTCCTCAAGGCACCTTGGCCGCGGTGAAACGGCTCATTTTCGAAGCTCATACTCTAGTGGTTGCCGATATCAAGAACAAGGCCACCAAATCTGAGTTGGATAAGCCAGTGACCACTCTCGCTCCAGCCGAGAGGGAAACACGAATCAAAGAACAAAGAGCACGCCTTTCAGGACTGAGGCTTCGAGGGGAGGAAGAATGCGCCTATTCCTCATATGACTTGATTATGTCTATGTTGGAAAAAGACGCTCTTGTGTACATGCATCCCGAAAAGTTTGCAACCCGCAGGCAAGAGTTGCAGAAATCCAAGCCAAACAAAAAGCTTATCATTGACCAGTCGATGCTAGCAGTCAGAGAGAAGACAGCTGACCTGAGTTGTCCCGCCTCAACGGAGCTAGAGATTTCCAACGCGCTGAGAAGAAGAGCCTTGGCCTTTGACCTCACCAAGGCCTGCCAATACTCAATCATGAACAATGACCGCTCAGAACTTTTGGATCACCTTCACCAGCCGCCTCCTCCCGGCTATGCTCCCATATCCATTCAGCAGGTTTTGAGAGCTGATCGCGCTGCCTTCCTGCTGATGTCGGAGAAGATCACTAGTCTTTAAGAAAGATGCCAACGGAAAGCTGTCCCTCGAGGAGCTTTTGCCAACCATCCTTGCACACAGTTCCGTCAGCTTTCACTTGCTCCCTCTTAGTGTCTCCGTCCTGCAACGACGGACACCTAAGGCAGCCAAGAAACATCAGAACCATCAGCGTTCGAGAAGCCTTGTAGCCACCAAAGGTAGCCTGAAAGGAGGCGGGCGCCCCAACAAAGGCCAAGCCAAGTCAGGCAAAAAGTCCAAAGGCGGGGGGCCCAATGTCCCTAAGGCCTTGATTGGGAAAGCTTTGGAGACCCCGTCCGGCGAACGCCTTCGCTGGGCATACAACCTTGGTGGTTGTGATCTAGTTGGAGACATTGTGAGTTTTCGCAAAGACAACAATACAGGAGGTCGCACCAAATGGAGCGTGGCATCCAGGGTGATTGGCCACGAGGGAGAAAGAGACATTTGGGTTTTGTGCGAGAACACCCCTGTACTTGTGTCAGCCCACAATCTCCGACCAGCGAGCGATGCAGAGGCTCTTGCACGCTCAATTCTCCAAGGACAGCCCATTGTACCTGCTGAGGTGATTGGAGAAGCTTAGAAGTTTGTTGATGCACGAACCAATGAAGACGAAAGTCTAGGACCAATTCCCGAAGAAGAAACCCCCGACCAGCTCGTTGACATTCCATATCCAGAACACATGGAAGTGGAAGATGATGAAGAAGACGTAGAAGAGGAAGAAGAAGAAGAAGAAGAAGTGTCAAGAGCTGAGCCTAGCGACAGAAGACTGCCAACCAGACGAGAGAATCCAATCAGAAGAGTTCGAAGAAGGACAGATGGAGGAGTGTCGACCACAAGCGGTGGCGATAGTCCGGCTGCCTCCGTCGTGGCAGCTCCCAACGCTGAAATCTCGGCGAGAGCGGAATCTCCGATCGAGCCTGCGTCAGCCTCAGGACAACCATCTGCGTGGCCAAACCCACGCGATCCGCTTGATGACCCCCCAGTTCCACTGAGGATGCACTTCGAAGCGCAGTGGACTCGGGAGAGCCAAGCGAACACAGGAATCGTTGGAATGGTGATGGAGAAAGGTCCAACACCGATGGGACCAAGATCTCGCTTTGTATCATTCATGTCATCCAGGTTCGAGGAAGGACTTCAAGAACAAGAAGCCGAGCCTGAGAAAGCTGCTGAAAAGACTTTGAACTTCGAGAGAGAGACTCCAGAGATGAGAGCTCTGATCTTGGAAGCAAGAGGCAAGGAATGGGCCAAGTACATTAAGTACAGTGCCGCTGTCCCATTGCCGCCCGGTGAAGGGGGGGCGTTGATCGCTCAGGGACACGCAGTGATCCCGTCCAAGTGGGTGGACGTGGATAAATCGTACCATGCCCAGTGCCGAGATGATCGCATTAAGTCGAGGCAGGTCAGCTGCGGCAACTTTGAGGTCCAGGCAGGGTTGCGCACCGACGCCCCAACGTGGGATGCGGAGACACACCACCTCATAGCTGCGTTTGCGGCGTGTCACCAGGTGGAGTGTCGCTCAGCCGACATAACGTCGGCGTACTTTCAAGCCGCTGCGCTTGACAGGGTCATTGTAATGAGAATGTGGCGAGGTGGCCTCCCTGACCTCGAAGATGGTAGCCCCCTTTTGATCAGAGTACCCGTCTGCGGGTTGTGCGATTCGGGACGTGGATTTTGGAAACGGCTACACCGCGAAGCACGTGACTGTGGCTTCAGTCCGTCGCGAGTGTTTCAGGCCTTCTACTATTTGAATGTTCCCGTGGAATCCCCTGAAAGACAGAAGAAAGAGGATCAGAAGGAAGGGAAAGAAGAGAAAACCCATGCTGAATTGAAGACAGTGGCAGTGTTGACCACGCATGTGGACGATCTTCTTTATGCATACTTGCCTGAAGGAAAGGAGTACATGGATCGTTTGTTGTCACGTTTTGATGTAGGAACTCAGGAGACTGGAAGCTTCAGGTATTGCGGTAAGCAATTCAATACCACTCCTGAAGGAATCACAATCGATGTTGACGACAACAGTCGCAAGGTGAAACCTGTGAGAATTGACCAAGGACGACCAAACACTGACTTGCTGACTCCTGGAGAGATCAGCCAACTCAGGTCAGTGGTGGGCTCGCTGTCGTGGATTGCACGACAGGGGAGGCCCGATATCCTTTACCTTGTTTCCAAGCTGCAGTCAGAGATAAAAGGAGCGACAGTCCAGACTGCGCGAGATGCCAACAAGTGCGTTGAGATGACCCTTGCTGGTTTGGATCATGTGGAACTTCGGTTCCCGTACCATCACGTGGACTGGAACACGATGGGCGTGTTGAGTATCTCGGACGCATCTTTTGCGAATGAAGGCGGAATGCGCTCGCAACAGGGCAGATGCCATTTCCTGTGCCCAGTCAAGCAACTGAAGGAAACGACCAGGACATCATTCGATGTCTTCCCACTGGCGTTTTCCTCAACCACAATCAAGAGGGTGTGCCGTGCAGGCAGAGGCATACAGCTTGCAGAGCAGTATGGAGGCAGGTGACAGGTACAGAGCCTTGTTGGTTGAGATGAAGGGGTATGGGAACAGATCGTGAGACAGTGCAGCCCACAGCTTAGCTTGTCGGATTGCATGTCACTTGTGAAGCACTTGAACTCTGACATGTTGTCGCGATGTCAGGACAAGCGCCTTGAGATCGACATGCGAGCCATGCGCCAGTCATTGAGAGATGAGGACGATCGAGAGACATACCTCGTTTATCCTGATGGAGGCGACCGTTTGGCTTGGATCCACACAAGCCCAATGATCTCGGATTGTCTTACCAAGAAGATGAAACCTGACTTGATTTTGAAGGTGTTAAGAGAGAACATCTACTCAGTCAGCTACATCCAGCAGCTGAAGAAGAAGTGAGATCTATCCCGTGTGCAAAATTTTCCAGAGAATTTGGCTTAGACCATTTCACACCTGTAAAGTAGGATGTGTGTGAATCTATGGTCGATTTTCTAGTTTGTGATGAACCAGGGTGTGAAATTACCCATGTTACCGCTGGCTTGATGCACTGGATGAAATATCCGTAGAATCGGAAACTGCTGGGTCAGTATGCTCGCTATCAACCAACGAAACCATGGGTTCAGAAAATTGAAAGAATGTCCATTCCTGAGCTGCCAATTGTTTGCTAAATTGCTCAAGTTGAAAGTCTGGTTCAACCAAAGGTTCCTGACCACCCCGTCCCAGGAAAGGGTGAGGTCGCCAACCACCACGCACACGGTCAATGATGGTCTGTTGTAAGCAT